CTTTGAAAGTGACATTGTGTACTGGTTTCACTACATGCACAGTGTATGCAGAGCTGAGTTATGGTGCTTGACAGCACTTTTAGCTCTTGAAACAGTGTTTTGGCTAAGACACTGTTTCTCTGTCGCAGTTTCAATAAGCTACTTACAACTTGATTGTTCTGGCTAGTTTCCAGCACAACTGTACTTTGCTTAGGTTGACTAACCTCTTACTTAAACTCGCTAGTCATTATGTGATTTCTTATTACCTGCACCTGTCTGGAGCTATGATATGTCATTAAAGGCAGTTGCTACTGTTTTGTCCAATAATTGATTCTATTTAAAAAATGGTTGAAATTATTCTGACAGAGAGAGGTGTGCCTTTTAATTTCCTTTTGCAGGGGAAAAATTGTCTAAAGCACATGCTGTTTCATTAGAAAAGTGTGTGTATCTGTGCCTTTCACTCTAAAGCGGACATATGTACAACTAATGATACTAAAAATTTGTTGTTTAATATTAGGACTGTGACCTAGTTTTCCTGAGTTTGGTACTCGACCAATGAGCAGTGCTTATTGTCTGGTCTTGAAGGAGCTGAATGTTTCTTGCAGCAGTTAATGAATGCACATTAACCCTCTTCTTATCAGTGTTTAATTGGTGCATCTACAGACTTTGGCCAGTCTTTTACAGGAGTGGTGGTGGAGAGTTGTATGGGCTGGGGGAGAAGAAAGCAGAAAGAAAAATCCAATCATTCACCTGTTTTTGCTGGATGGGTGAGTGGTGAAATCAGTGTGGGGAGCAGTACAGCAGGGGATTGCAGGGCTGCGTTGCCCTGTCCTCTGAGACTGGTGAGCCAAGCTCTGCATACCTGACCCCACCATGGTCACCTGCCTTGCAGGTGATAGCACCCCTGCATTTTGAAGGACAGATTACCTCTATGCTAGGCAGGGTTTTTAGGTTTTGTCTGCTCTCACTGCCCATCAGCAAGGATTTGAAAGAAATGAGTGGTGCAGGTGTTTCCCTGAATTTTACACTCTGATCTCTTTCTTTACTTCTGGAAACCCTAATTTTTGAACATTCGTTATGTTTAACCAGGTTTGACCTGACAGTGTCCCTTTAATACCATATTATGCAAGGATCTCAGACATTAAAGATATTGGAGAAGTGATTAAAAGCAATTTTCTAAAAACTACTCATGTGCCTTAAATTTCAGAGCCAAACTCATGCCACTCCATTGACTAAATCAGTCTAGAAATCTCCAAAGCCTCTTCTGTGACAGGGAAGTATAAGCAGCAATCCTAATCCTCAGACTGGCAAAAAATGAGAAGCCAAAACTCACAAAGGTCTCAGGACTTCCTCAGAGGAAAATTGGAAGGAAGGTTGCAATATAAACTTGGCTTCAGGTCTTTGGTATATCAGAACAGAAATTTGCCAGTCAGAAGGAACATGTAGGTTTATTTTTGTTTCCCTTTAGGGTTTGGTGGCAAAAAGGATACACGTTCATGCTGGCTGAGGTATATGTACCTCAGTATAGTGACAGGAGAAATTTTAATTTGTTGTTGAAATTTAATTAAGTTACGGCACTTTTGGAACGTTAGGATTTTGTGGAAGGAGATACACATTACAGAGGTCTTTTACAAAGCTAGGAACCAAGAGCAAACAGACGGCAGTTCAGAAGTCTCCTTTTTTATTTTTACTTGCCCTGCCCTGATGTCATATATGACTGTAAAAAACATGAAGTTTTACAACCCTTTTCCTGATCATACAATTAGCTTAAAAACCTAAGTAAAGCCTTAGATTACGAAATTAATGTTGTTGTTATGGTGTAAATTTTACATACTAAGTGAAGATTTTACCTATATTAAATTAGGAATAATGGTAAATGTGTGTGTCTCACAGTTTTTTTTGAAAATCTTAAGATTTGTGCTTCACAAGATGGAATACAGTGATACAGTCTTGCATTTTTTTTTCCCTATTGTTTTCCTATGGTTGGTTGGAATTTCAATATATATATATATTTCAGTGGTATGATCTGCTCAAGAACTTCACTAAAGAAAAAAATGGTCGACTTTGCAAATGATGGTTTTTGTTATATTCACATGTTTATCATTTGAGATGAAAGTAAATGTTAAAATTACAGGCTTCATCAGGATCCTGTACAGTTGATATGCTGTCCAAGTACTGCTTTTTAAAATGTAAAAACTACAGGAATCAAATAAGTGAAGGAGTGTAGCATAGACAGTATTCTGGCAAACTCTATGTAAATGAGCAAAGATTATTAGTGAAATATCTGTATGGGAACTTATTATGTTTCTTTGGCAGGCAGGGTGAAAACTCCCAGTGTTGTATTAATTGCACTTTGAAATTTTGTTTTCAGTCCTATTTACTGAGAATCATGAAGTGGAATTAGCTGTTGTGATGTGCTAGGGGAGTATTTGTGCCACTGGGTGAAGAGCATCCTTTGTACTTAGAGATTCAAAGGTCAAATAAATTTCATATTGACCTTATTCATTTGGAATAATTGGGCATTTTTTCAATGAAAAATTCATGGCATGTGATCCAAAGCTATAGAGTTCTTTTTTCCATTGGCTTTGTTGGACTTTGAGCCCAAACCATTGTCACTAGAGTGGCCTGATCAGCTGTGGTGTGTGTCGGTCACTGCCCTTACTGCCTCAGTTGCAGAAAAGAAAAAGGTGCTTTTGAATCAAATTGAAAAAGGATACACAAATTTTAAGCATTGTTATTTTTGTCTTAAGTCATAATCACCCTCCGAAATCTAGAAAAAGGAAACTTTTTAAAGCACAGGATGTCTTTTAGGGGGCAGTTTAGCTGATATCAAAAATAGTAGAGAAGATGTCTTTTCATCTCCCATATTAGATATTATAACGTCGACTCACACAGTGTATTGCCATCACTGAGGACTGCAAGTTATATTTTGGATTGAAATAACCACACCAAACAGCTGATGTATACCAGGAGACCTTGGCATTGATTTCCAGTATATCATGCTGGAGGTGAAGTAGCACAATGGGAGCTACCTGAGTCTGTGCAATGCCAGCAACTTGCCTCAACAAATGCTGTAAGGCTTGTCAACCTCTTGGCCATTCTGCCACACTCGTTCCTGTTAATGAAAAGTTTAGTAAGAGTCATTCTTATCTGAGGCATCCCATAACATAAAAAGGTTTTTTGTTCCTTAGTTCTAGTGAAAAACAAATTACCAGAAATAGTAAAGGGTTTCAGAAAAATCAGAGACTCCCAGTATTGTAGTATTAGAAGCATTTTGTGGTTGCTTGATAGTTCAAACAACTAGAATAAAGTGGTTTAGGAAGCATGAAACAGTACTGATTACTAAGGAATATACTACCAAAAGCCCTGCCCTCAAGTAATGAAATTTGCTTCACTGCTTCCAGTGTTTTCCTGTGGATTTAATTTTTTGCACTTCATCTTTACTATGTGTCTTTCAAAGTTAATTAATTTTCTTTCATGCCAATGCTCTGCTAGTCCAGAGGATCTTCCTCACTGTTTCTCCTTCATTCAAAACTCAAACAGACACAATTCAATTAATTACTCCCAAAAGAATACACATGCACACCAATACCAGCAAACTGCTTTTTAATTATCTCATTCATCTTTGTCAGTGGGGGTCTGTTTCAGCATACAATAAAACCAATGGTAGGGCATCTATTAATTTTGGTGGAAGGCATGTTCAAATAACTCATCGCCCTTTATAACTGCATGACTAGTTGGGCCTGCTTTATTAAGGACCATAATTCCACTTGGGAGATAAAAGATAGGTATTTTTATGAGATATTGTTGAATTCCATCCATAAAATGCTCCCAGCAGTACTCTTAATAAGTTGGATTACTGGCATTCTCATGAATAGAATTGTTTTCTAAGTCATGGTATGAAAGACACAATTTAAAAACAGATATGGAGATAAACACGTACCATAAATATTTTCACAGGGATGACATTTTGCAAAGGAACAATTGTTTTTAAACATGAGGAGTGAATAAGGAATTAATGTTTATTATTTGATTACTGTATGCCTTGTATGCCTAACCATAAACCAGGACACTGCTGTGCTCTGTCCTAGAGAGCTTCCTGTCTATTTGTAAGCTAGACAACAGATGTAGAGTGAGATGAACATGAGAAACAATAAGGCAATAATGACCAGTATAATTGTATTTACTGTTTATGATAAAATATCTGTCCATTGCACAGTTCATTGTGGGGGTAGTTCCCTTTGAAGACAAAAAAAAAAATCCTTTGCTTCCAGTGTTTACTAAATTCAGATCCAGAGATTTCACAGTTCAGCATCCGAAAATTATTGTTCCTTTCAGGGAAGTTGATCCTGATAGACCTGAAGAGAAAGGTTAAAAGATTCCCAGTGAGATTCTTTGAAAAAAAATCTGTGCACTACCAGTGACTATTCAGTTTACTCAGCTGTAACTGACACAGTTTTCACAGTGTACCAGGAGGCCAGTGGAAAAAGGTCACCTACCATACACTCTTGGTGCTAGGTCTAGGTCCCTGCTTTTGCATTTCACTGTTCATTTGTTCAGCAAACATATGACCAGGATGAATCTATTCTTTACTCTTATCAAGAATGATAAAAGAAGGACTCAACCATCTCTCCCAGGTAAAATGAAAATCTTGCCTTTTTTAACTCAGCTTTAGTAAGATTGCCATTTGCTAGTCTTCTGGCAGAAGGAGAGTGCAAACCTTAAAGCAATTCTGATTTGTCCTTGCTACTTTCTCTATTGTACATGTGTTTGATAGAACCTCTAAATAATTTTCATGGTAGCAATAAATTTTTATATTGATTTCTGGGGAATTCTGTAAAGCTTGGAAGTGAAGGGCTAGGCCCGTTCAGAGCTGTTTTGGCTTATCATGTTTCACCCAATGTGACGGGAATTGTTCTGAATTATGTTATCTGTATATAGCCATGTTGTCATTACAGTGCAATTTTTGACATCATGTTCTGATGTTGGGGAATACAATTAGTTTTGAATTGTCCTTTTAGTCCCCCAAAACTTGGATTGAAGAGGTCTTCAGTAAAAGAGAATGCACACACATCATTCCCAGCTCAAAAGATCCACACAGGTAAAACTATGAATTTCACTTTCTTTCTGTTATATTTAGAAAGAATCAGAATAATTTTTTTATGGGAATTTTGTGTGATTTGGATGACGGTTTTCAGTGTCCTTTTTGGTGATTGCTGATCTATGGGTTTTCATGGATCCTGTCACCAGTACATATTAAATCAGGCTGTTCATTTGAATTAGAAATTGGCAACAGTTAACCTTCATAGGCTTCTTAGATTTGTTGCTCTCAGTCCAGGAACCAAAACTAATACGGTATCCAACTGAGTGATTGAATTGCACAGATGAACTGCTGTATTACTTTCTCCCTTCCTCAGAATAATCCCTTTGCTGATCAGTCTTCTGAGAAATTTCTGCTCAGACTCGTGTAGAGTATGAAAAGAGTAAGGAAGGTAACATATCTCAGCCTGTGTTTTAGGACGTGGGAAAGCAAACATAACTTGGCATTTCAGATGGTGTATCTAGTCGATGCTGTTACCTAAATAAACTTGATGAGAACATTTTTTGAGGATCTGAAATTGTGATTTTGATCATATGGTTTTGAGTACATGGTTAATGTAGCATAGATAAGATAGATAACTCGTCTATGAAATGAGGATTTGACATGTGAAATGCCAAACAAAAGTTATCTAAAGTTATCTAAAGTTATCCAGTACATCTTCCAGGGTTTGGTGCATAAGATGACAGCCTGTAATGCTGTTGATAAGAGTTTTTTCACACTTGAATTGATCCTTTAAGAATAGTATTACAGGTATCTTTTTTTATGCAAGTGTGTATTAATTATCAACCTTTTATCACAGGTGTCCTGCAGGATGCCAGGTGTGCCAGAATTTAATCAGGTAAGAGTACATAAATATATATCTATGATTTTTATAATGACCTAGTAATAGGCATTCCTAGTCAAGGAAATAATAACAAGAGAAATCTTCTTCTTCTTATATGGTCAGAGCAGCATTTCTAGGGGTGTGCTGGAGAATGCTTAGCATAAATGTAAGTAGAATAAATTGCATGATAGCCCTTACATTATTTGAAATAGAAAATTTTATCCAAATACTTTGTGTAGGTGTGTTTGTCCTAATCTCCTGAGGAATGAAAGGCAGAAATGCTTCTTTCAGTGAGACAATTCCAGCTATATCCTGGGTTATATGAAAGAGCGTGAGACAAAAGCAATAGAGAACAATAAGAATTATGGAAAGGAGAAGAGAAAATGAAGAGAGAAGAAAGGACATAATAGAAACATCCCTGATAAAAGGTTTTCTGAAGATTTTTCAACTTCTGTGCAGTAAGCATTCTGAGTTCCTGCTTTTGGGAAAGCAAGCAACAAAAATAGCATCACTTTGGTGCTTTCAAGTAGTTTGTGATTTTTTTCAAACAACTTGTATTTTGTGGCTTGTATTAAGTCATTGCTTTCAATCCAGCATTTGTCTTTCAGCTGGTGTTACCAAAGAGGTTTTGGTACTGTATATTTATGATAAGAAATTATCAGCTGTTGGAACACAAATTTCAATTTTCCTTGACATTTGTTTTGTGTTAAAGGCTTCTGAAGGCTGAAGCAACAGAAAACAATGAGTTTCCAATACCTGATGACTAGCAAGCTGATGCCAAGTAATCCTGTCACCTGCATGAACAGGACTTTTTATTATGCTTCATATTTTATTTTGCTTCTAAGATTTATGTGAAGGGAAGAGTCATGTTTTACAAAAATTAAAGAAATTACTCCTTAAAATCAGATCACTGTAAAGGGCTAATATGCAGAATTGTGCTGGCCTGTAAGGCAAGTGATCTGCATGGAATCTGTTTAGAAAGTTTCAGCTCCTTCTAAGATAATGGTCTCATGTACACTTTGCTTTAGGGCAGAAGAACAGAGATTCAAAGATTTTTGCAGGTTTTCTGAAAGTAGAAATGCGGGGGATTCTAATACTTCCTGCTAACCTGGAGATACTCAGCTGGTTATCTAAACTGATGTTAACGTGTCCTTCAGAATATAGTAGTTCAATTCTATCTAAATCAAGACTACAGCAGTTCTGTAATCCTCACCCTCTACCCCTGCAGAGTGAACATATTGTTAATTGGTCTGGGAAGCTCAATAATAGAGAAATTACCCTGAAGAGGTGGAAAACCAAACTAAGATTACCTTTCACCAATTCAGCCTCCTAATCAAACACAGTTTAACTGCATGAATGTGAATACTACACTGGGAGAGGGAGGAAGAGAAACAGGAAATGTGCACCCCAGTGGATGGGTTTATTTTTTTCTTTCCTGTTTCTCTGTCAAGACATCCCATACCTTTGTGTGTTTTTTATCTCGTAGTTGTTTCTTTCACTTTTTCCTGAGCATTTCATGCTATTTAAATCTGATTTGTCAGTCTATGTTTGCAGAATGTCTGTGGCTGTCTGACGTTCACTTCAGTCAGCCATTATCTTGCAAGTACATTTTCCCAAATGTTAAGTGTTCTTGTGTTCTTGTATATCTCATTGTGTACACAGAGCTTGGTTCTAGGAGAATTTTTCTGTTTGAACAAGGTGAAATAATTTTCACATGATTGTTTCAACTGGTTATACTATATTTATTAGATCAGCAATGAAACAGGTTTTGGACCTCCTGAGATCTGTAGTTTTCCACAACAGTCTAAAAATCATGTGAATGTACTTGATGCCTACTATAATTTGATCTGATATTGTAGGCAAATGAAATCTGTTAATGATTTCTTACTTGCAGAGAACTTCCAAGATTTGCAAACAGTTTATGAATGGGTTATGCAACTATTTGCTAATTCTAAGTAGAATGACTCCATTTAGCAGTTGCTAATCAAATTTGAGTAATTTATTGGCACTTTTGTCCATGCTCCCCTAGTGTGTTGGAATGGCCTCGATCTACTCTTCTGTGCAGCACTCACAGAAGCATCCCAGACAGCAGTTAGACTGATCTCACGATATGAATATTCAGAAATGTTGTACCGAATTTCTGCATCCTTATACATTTGAGATGTTCTCACAATTTTTCTCTATATCTGACCTTTAAGGCATAATTTTTGGATATAGCTTCTAAATTGCTGCCTGCTAGGGCACTGGATATTGTAGTCTGACTACTGCAGTTACTTTTACCTCAGTGTTGACCCTCTGGGTTTCTTCTTGTTGCTCAAAGTATGATTTTTCTAGTAGCCTGCTTTTGTGTTCCTGACAATACCCCACCCTCTCTAGGAACATGTTCTTCAGTCCCAGCCCCTTCCCAGAGCATGCTCAGCCAGGGGGGGCAGATGAGGATGCTGTCCCAAGGAGGGACAGAGCCCACCCTCCCCAAGCCATGATTCCACCACTGGGTTGTTCTGGAAAAAAGGCTTCTTCTTATTTCCAGCCTCAGCCTCTCATGTTTCAGCTGTGCTGCTGCCTCTCACCCTCCTGCCATGCACCACTGAAGAGCCTATCCACATCTTCTGTATCCTCTCCAATCAGTGCCGGGTGTATTGCTGGAGCCCCTGAATCTGTCTCTCCTCCCACCTGAGCTCTCTCCAGTCCCACAGCCTCTTCTCAGAGAAAGGGGCTCTAGCCCCACGATGACCAGGATAGTCACTCTGCCCCTGAAATCTCACCAGTTTGCTGGTGTCTCTTCTGTGTTGGGGGCCCAAACTGGGGGTGGTACCCAGAAAGGGGCTGACAAAGACTGAGCACAAGGGACAGTCCTTGCTGTCCCCCAGCTCTCAGGCCATGTCCTGCTCACACTACCCCAGGCACCACTGTCCCCCATTGCTGCCCAGGTACATGGATGGCCCTGGCTCAGCTCACTGGCCACCAGGACCTACTACTATGACCCAGAATTGCACCCTCTCCAGGGCTGCATGTTCCTTCCTTCCCCTCCTCCACATTGCTGGTGGAGAGGCTGAACAGCACAGACCCTCTACAGACCCTACGGGACCCTGCTTGATAGTGGCCCCACCACCCAACCAGGTCCTCACCTCTCAGCATGTCATCCCTCCTGGACTGTAATGTCACAGACCAACTACTAAAGCCTGGCTAGAGTGGAGGTAAGGTGGTATCTGCTGCTCTGTTCTCATCCCCACAATTATGTTGCAGAAGGCAGTGGGTGGGTCAGTCATCCTGGGTAAATCCTTGTTTACTGCTTCCTGTCACTGTCTGCTTCCTCATGTGCCCAGATGTGTGCTCCAGGAGGTCTTGTTTCTTGATTTTACTTGGAACTGATGGCCAGCTGACTGGCCTGTGGTTCCCCAGGATGGCTTTTGCCTTTTGAAGGCAGGGGACCTCCCTGATATCCACAGCCTTGGAGATCTGATAGAAATTGGCTGTTCAGGAACACCAGCCATTTACCTCAGCAGCTTGGGTTGCAGCTTGACAGGTCCCAGGGACATGTGTGGGAGTCAAGTGCCCCTCTGCTCCTCTCCTCTGACTCAACTATCATCTCAGGCTGTAGTGCCACTCCTCCTTGCACCCTGTTACTCTGCACGCAGCAGCAAACATCACCAAAAAACCCACAAACAGCTGTATGTAATGTTTTGCTATGGCTTCCTCAACCTTCCTGAGAGCTTCTTAGTCTTGGCTATAGATCTTCAGGTAGCTCAGTGTTACAGTTTCAAACTTTTCTACGTGAATTTTCTACACTGAAGCGTGGTTGGACATGGGGAGAGCAAGACTCCACTAGGAGGAGATAGGCATCAAAGCTTCATTGTTTTCAAGCTCGGATTCTAATAGCCCTCCTGTTGAAAAGCTAATAGCTTTCTCTGCAGAGGTGGGACTCTTTTGTTTCTTCTGTCCCCTGGGCAGTGGGGCAAGATCGAGTTTCGCTGTATAACCTCGGCTGGGGTACCAGCTCAAAGGGAAGAGTCTATGGGAGACAGGGGGATATCGCGCGAAGGGAGGCGACAGTTAAGGCTGCTGGCACTACTTGTTAGCCCGCTTTCGTTGTGCTGCTCGGCTCCTGAGGAGGAGTCTCCTGACTGCGCACCCCTATAGGAGCAGGCCCTGTCCCTTGCCAGTCGCCACTCCCGCTGCTGAGAGGAGCCCGGGAGAGTCCCCACCGCTGCCGGCCGGGGGGTTCCCTTTGAGTGGGGCTGTGTTCCACCTGTGAACCTCTGCACAGTTGCTGGCTGAGGGAAATTTTTCCTGCGTGAGGTGAACCCTCCCCATGGACCGTTTGGAGCGAGGTACCCGCCCCAGCCACGCCCTGCGCCAGTGCTGCACACCAGAGCATCCTCCTGCGGCGGCTGCCGCCTCCTGTCTGTTTCCCTCCCCCGCTACCCAACGGGGCACTGACACAGCTCGCGGTCACCATTCTCATTGTTGCCTCCCGGAGCCCAACAGTGGTCCCTGCTGTTTGTGGTTAGAACAGCGCCGAAAGGCAAATATACTTGTTTAAAGTTTCAGTTAAGGTGTTGTTGCTTGATCTGTTTTTGTTATATATGTTCCATAGTAAGGGACTGTTATTTCCTTTTCCACACTTTTTTTTTTTTCTCCTAAAGCTTCTTAACTTTCAAAGATATAATAACTTGGAGGGAGGAGTTTGTTTCTTTTCCTCTTCCTACCTCAGGAAGGTTCCCATCCTCCTTGGCAAACATTTTGTCTTGTGTATCTGAGACACTCAAGAATCCTTAACATCTGCTAGATGGCTAGAGAGACCAAGCATGCCTGACTGGAGCAAAGCATGAGCTATTTGGGAAATACTAGCTGTTACTGAATCACACAGGATCACAGCATGGTTTGGATCGGAAGGGACCTTTGAAGACTATCCAGTCCAACCCCCCAAAATTGTTATCAGTGTTCCTTAGGTAGAGAACAAATTCTATATCCAACAAAATGTATTTTTGATTTCATTCAATGTCATTTTGCCATTGTTGAGTTCAACACAGTTAATTTTTATTATATTCCATGTGCAAAAACTGCGATATCCCTCTTTGTAGAAAAGCTGTTTGGACTATTCAGGTGAAGACTCTAGAGTGGTATGCAAGTGAGTTTGATATAAAATAATTTTTGTATTTTTAATGTGAGATGTTGCTGTGGACGGCTGATTGGAGAACACCCAGGAGTACAGTACAGCTGGCCTGTTTATCGAGCTGGTTCACAGAGGGATGATGGAGAATGGTCTGTGCAAAACCACACAAAGATGAGCCCAACAGATGCATTTGGTACAATCAATTTTCAAGATGGAGACCACACTTACCATGCCAAGGTAATAGACACTGTATTTATATGTCCAACTTATTTTTATAATTTCAGCATAAGAAAGACAAAAAGCGGTTTTGGGTGAATATCAGTGATTGTCTTAAGAGGGCGGGGGACTCTGAAAGTAAGTCAGGTTAAAGTCTGTGTATGATATTTTTACATTTGACTTCATGTTAATGTGGTTAAGGGTAGGCTGTCTTGTCTGTATTACTCACAGATGTATTTTTGTGCTATCAGTTTTAGTGGTATTATGACACTTCTAATCCTTCACAGAATCTGCAGGACATTAATGCTGAGAACTTTGTAATGTGTTGCAGTTTCTTAGAGTATTTAAAATATGTTTATTTAACCTATTATTATTCTTTCCAGTATATTAGACTCTCTTATGATAGCAGTTCAGATCAGCTGTTGCACCTGATGGTTAAAGAATGGCAGATGGACTTGCCAAAGCTCGTGATCTCTGTTCATGGAGGCATTCAAAATTTCAAGCTTCCCTCAAAGGTCAAGAAGGTTTTCAGCAGAGGTTTGGTGAAGGCTGCTGAGGTTACAGGAGCATGGATAATTACAGAAGGCATCAACAGTGGTAGTGTAATTCTTTTTCCTTGTTTCAGTCTACCTTTGGTGTTTTTTCCCTGCATAAAAGCATATACATTTAGGTCAAATACAGTGAAATTGTTTGAAAATTGGCGATATGGTAATACAAAAGAAAACTGTTTTTTTTAAGGAAAAATGCATAATTCAAAGAGTGACATCATGTTCCTTTACTGTTGACAGGCATTTGAATATTTTTAATATTATTTTTTATTAAAACTCAGAGTATTCTGCATGTAATAAGGAACACTGTATTTAACCAGAAGTTATTTGCAGTCAATTTATCTGCTTCATTAAAGTATTTAGGTCCTAAGGACTATAACTGGTCTTTTCAGGACAAAACAGTTCTCAAATCTAAACTTAGCTTGTGTTTTATAATTAAGAAAATTTGAGTTAGGATAATCCATTAATTAGCCATTAGTATCTGAAACTCCCTTTAGAGTACTTTCAAAAACTCAGGGGTCAGTAATCCATGGAACTGAAAGAGTTTTACTTCTTTAGCTGGTGAGTTTAGAGGAGAACTGTCCTGTGCATTTATGTAAACAATGAAGTTTTATGGATGTTGAAAGCACCATTAGCAACATAAAAGAGTATTACTAATTAGGAATATGTGCTGAGTTTGAAGAATTGGTGCATTATATGTGAGCCTTATGATTCCTAAAGTGTACATCAATAACACATGTTGAGTGGGATGTTCTTGTTAAAATATAACCATAGAATAAATTAAGTGATGGGAAAACCTTTCTTGGTGTCCTAGAGTAGGTCTCAGAATATAGAAGAAAAATTATGATTTCATTATCTGTTTAGGAGTGTCCAGGCATGTTGGGGATGCACTGAAAGGCCGTGCCTCACCACACCTGAGAAAGATCTGCGCTATTGGGATTCCTCCATGGGGTGTCATTGAGAACCAGAGGGATCTCATTGGAAAAGATGTGAGTTGGATGGATTTTAATAATAAAAGCCTTCATATTCATGGAATCTTATAGCTTTCTCACATGCTTGATTTTCTTCTTGATCCATTTCACTGTATTGATACATTTTCTCAGCAGTGTAAAATCTGCCGCTGATTTTACTCAGCTATTCATTCTGTGGCATGTTGAGGCACTGTATTTTGCTTTTCATATGTAAATAGTTTTAAAATATTTATCTTCTTACAGGAAATTACCATTCCTTTTTCAAATTTTGTAATTAATTAGGCGACTCTCTTGTGGTTGCAAATTATGTATTTCTATATTAAGATTCAGAATAAGCAATCAGGTTAATGGTGTACACAAATACGCTATTAATATGTGTGATTTTTGTGCACAAACTATAACTTTATATGAGGGCCACTGCGAGGGCACAATCTACTTAAGTGTGTAAGAGCACTTGAGAGGTTAGGTGAAATCATTCCTGATAAATGTTAGCTCGTGTATTTAAAGGGAATACAACCGAGGGAAACTGCCATTGTTTTTCAGTTATTGCAAGGATTAGATTGTAATCCTTAGATTGTAATATAAGTATTGCAAACCAAATCAGAAATGTTTTCTGTGCTATTAATTGTGGTTTTGTTGCTTTTAAGAATGAAATGCTAAGGATGAAATGCAAAAAGCTTGATGGAGGATTTCAGACAATCACAGAATGATGAATACATACATGTGAGGCAACATACATGGTGGTATTTTGTTTGTTTTCTTAAGGGTCTTTTTATTTTGGTTTTCCCAGGTAGTTTGCCTGTACCAGACTCTTGGTAACCCACTCAGCAAGCTGAGTACGCTCAACAGCATGCATTCTTATTTTCTAATGGCAGATGATGGCACAGTAGGCAAGTATGGTAGTGAGATGATGCTCAGGAGGAATTTGGAGAAGTACATATCACTTCAAAAAATACATATGAGTGAGTACTACTGTGGTCATCTTTGTGACTGAAAAACCTATCCTAAAAGTTGTGGAGGTACTTGACATTTCCTGTTACATGTTATACATTTCGATTTGCCATAGATTTCACTGAGGTCAAATGTTATTAATTGCATGTGTCTTGAACTCTGAATATCAGAAAAATGAAAAGGACAGCATTTTTATATTCATAAAGCATTATGCATTTGGATGAACTCACATATTGGTTTCTTAGTTGCAGAGACATCTAAATGACTCAGATTATTTAATGAGTATTGAACATTTGCTCACTTTGCAGTTTTGTGTGGTCTCTGTATCAGCATTAGATACTTTCCCAGCATTTTGCTAGGTGGAAAAGTTGTTACATTCAATGGAATTCAAATCCTTTTTCCTCTGTTCACTACTTTTGTCCTCATCACTCTTATCTGTTGAAGCCTGTGACGTCCTCAGGTACAGCAATAAAGACTGGTTGCAAAAGTAATACCTTTAGACAATGTTTGACAGATTGCATAACTTCCACTGTTTGCTTATAGAGTAACTAAGTTATGGTACAGAAATCATTAATTATTTATTACATAGACAAGTATTTCCTTTTAGGCACTAGATTGTACAAATTATTATATCATTTTTACCTAGTCATTTGAATCTCAAGGTATGTTAAAAAGGCATTAACAGTTATGATGTTGAACCCTTGCTTCCCTTATGTGCTCACATTATTGAATTTACAAACTTAGAAACTAACTCAATTTTTAATATGTTCATATATAGAGCTTCTTACTCAAACTCTTATGTTTTTCTTACTGTGAGTATTTACAAGTCAGGCTTTCTGTAGTATTTTCATTTCTATTACATTGTATTTGAAATTTATTTCTGTTTTTTAAAAACCCCACCCTGCTGCTGCAAAACTTGAGAGAGTCTCTGAAGAAATGCATGATTACCTTTATGGGTATGTAGGTAACCAAATGGATATTGAACACATTTCAAACATCCTTGCATGTGACACCTATCATAAAGGCCAGAGGGATGTTTGGGAGGATATTTTTAATTTCCAGTGCTAGGGCCACTTACAGTTTATTCAGGAGTTTTCCAGGGTCTTTTTGATCTGCTTGCAGAAATTCTGTGAAAGTCTTGAAAAGTGTTTGTCAGCTTAGAGATGGTGAAGGCATGATTTCATCTTCATTGAACCATGTATGAGACTCCTTCATAAGTATTTATTTCCCAGATGTTTTGAATTTTTTATGTGTGACTGAGACGTGTTTATGACTGATTAAGTGTGTTTTGAAACAGGAATGAGCCAAGGTGTACCCATAGTTGGGTTGGTGATGGAAGGAGGCCCCAGTGTGATCCTAATGGTGTGGGAGTACGTGAGGGCCACCCCAGCTGTCCCTGTCGTGGTCTATGAGGGCACTGGCAGAGCTGCAGATATCCTGGCATTTACCCACAAACACACAGGTGATACAGGGTGAGTAGTGGCATAATGGTCCTCCTCCTTGGTCTGTCATATTGGCAGGGACCTGAAAACACCTATCTCAAAACCTCGTATATATTATGAGATAATTTCTAATGCTTCTAGGGGTGACCCCACTATGGCCTTTTACCAACTTTAACTTCTGTTGAGAGTGGAGTTTATTCCTTCTCTGTCTCAAACTAGTGCTGAAATAACTATTCCGCCAAATTTACTGGGGCTTTTTTGAAGACCAAAACCTGCGTGTAGCTATTTTGAGTTATTATAAAGTTTCTCACCTTCGTGAGAGACACTGTTGGATGACTCCAGAGTGTTTGCTTGTGTTTTGACTCTATTGTTTCTCCTGCTATTAATGCTCTGTATATGGGCTTGAATTTGGTTGCATAAAGCTTTTGAGACTAGAGCTGGGATTAGTTGCTGTAGGAACCTCAGACTGCAGCACGAAGAGGACTAAGTTTCCTTGTCTTTTGCTTTGGTTTACTCAGTGGTAACCCAGATTTGTCACTCTGGTCTAGCTGTGCCACTACCAGTGCAGTTTCAGCTGCAGGCGCTATTGAACCTACCTTGATGAAAATTTTTCATCCAAACTGGAAAAAAAATATATATTTGTAAAGCCAATTAATATTATTTGTGAAAGTTTTCAAAGTCATAGACCTTTTTAGATTAAAAAAATCAAATTTTAAAGAGATGGTCTGGATTCCTTCTGATTTGAGCAAATAAACAATTTAATAAATTTTGTGGCCTAATTGTTTACTTATTGTCCTTTCTAAATATTATTTTGGAGAGGTAGTATTTGCCCCTAGTATGTTCTATTGAGAACTTTTTTCTTCACTTGCTTTTTTCCATATTTGTGATATTTAAAAAAAAATCCTTCCATTTCTAAAGGAAGTGTGGATGAAAATGTTAATGGAAAGATAAATAAGGGGGGAAAAAGATAGGAGAGATATGAAGTCTAATGAAAAAATAGTGAGCAATTTCATTTTATCTCTATATGATTATTGAAAGAAAGAAAAAGTTTGCTAAACTTCCACTGATTTTTAGCTCTGTGTTCACAGACAATCCTTTCAAAGTTGTTAACTTATTCATGTGTTATATTTCCAGTAGTAAATATGTATGTCAGAACAAATACCCATGGGAATAATAATTTATGTTATGTGATGACTTTGCTTTGTTATGCTGAAAGAAGGCAGGATTAAGTCAACAGAGAAGTAGAAAAAGAAGAGACTTCCCATGTGTCAAGTTTCATCTTTTCTGAAGTGACATTTGAGCAAGTAAGAAGTAGCTAAAATATAACTGTTCTTGCTTGTATGTCTGTTTTCCAGGGACCTGTGCCCTCAAGTGAAGAAAGAGGTTTTAGTGATGATTCAAAACACATTTAGTTTGGAACAGAAACAGTCCAGTCATCTATTTCACATTTTGATGGAATGCATGGAACACAGAGACTCCGTGAGTGGGGCTCATGCCCTGAATTTAGGATGTCTTAATTTGGTGTTAACCTTTTTGCTTCTTCTGTGGTGGGTTGGTGCACAGGTGTAATATAAAGATAACATGAAGGTGTCTGTGCTAATTTCTATATTGAGTAGCTCTAGAGAGCCCACTTAGTTGACTTCTAAAGTTTCAGCGTTTGTTTATGAAATGACAGCCTTTCTGATTTTAGTAAAAGGCCATATATCTTTGTTTTCACTGGAAAGATCAAGTAATTCCTAGTTTTTTGCTTCTCTAGTAGAGTCTTATTTATAATTTAGAAAGGTTTCCTTCCATTCTTCTACTTAAAACAGAATTTTCCTAGAACTTGTAATGCAATGTACTCTTGTGATTTGCTGGTATGTTTAGGAGCTCAAGTGCTCATTTGCAAGGAGAATCATAGAACCACAGAATGGTTTGGGTTGGAAGTGACCTTAAAGACCATGTAGTTTCACCACCCCTGCCACGGGCATGGACACAAGATGAGGTTGTTCAAAGCCCCATCCAACCTGGCTTTGAGCACTTCCAGGGATGGGACATCCACAACTTCTCTGGGCAAGCTGTTCCAGTGCTTCACCCCTCTCACAGTAAATAATTTCTTCCAAACATCTAATTTAAATCTACCCTCTTTAAGTTTAAAACTGTTACCCCTTGTCCTATCCCCCCCCATCTTTCTTGTAAACCTCATTTAGATAGTGGAAGCTAGCTACAAGGTCTCCCTTGAGATTTCTCTTCTCTAGGCTAAACAATCCCAAAGGAGAGGTGCTCTAGTCATCATCTTTGTGGCCCTCCTCTGGACATGCTTGAGCAGGTCCACATCCTTCTTATGTTGGGGACCCCAGAGCTGGACACAGAACTCCAGGTGGCATCTCACCAGAGCAGAGTAGAGGGGAAGAATCACAGAATCAGTTAGGTTGGAAAAGACCTCTGAGATCATCAAGTCCGACTTTTGACTGAACCCCACCATATCAACTAGAACAAGTGTCACATCCAATCTTTGTCTTTTTTTAAGCACCTCCAGGGATGGTGACTCCACCACCTCCCTTGGCAGTAGATTCCAATGTTTAATCACCCTTTCTGTGAAGAATTTCCTCCTAATGTCTAACCTGAACTACCCTGGCACAGCTTGAGACTGTGATCCTTTGTCCTGTCACTAGTTGAGTGGCAGAAGGTGCCGGTTGACTACAACCTCCTTTCAGGTAGTTGTGTTGAGTGATAAGGTCACACATGAGCCTTCTCTTCTCTAGGCTAAACAACCCCAGCTCCCTCAGCTGCTTATCACAGGACTTACTCTTTAGACCCTTCACCAGCTTCATTTTCCATCTCTGGACTCACTTCAGCATCTCAATGTCTTTCTTGAAGTGAGTGACCCAGAACTGGACACAGGACTTGAGGTGCAACCTCACCAGTGCTGATTACAGGGGGACAAACACTTTCCTAGTCCTGCTGGCCACACTATTTCTGATACATTTCAGGATGCCAAGTGGCCTTTTGGCCACCTGGGCACATGCTGGCTCTTGTTCAACCTGGGGTCAGCCAGCACCCCCAGGTCCTTTTCAGCTGGGCCACTTTCCAACTACTCTACGCCCAAGCTGTAGCACTGCATGGAGTTATTGTGGCCAAAGTGTAGGACCCAGCACTTGGTCTTATTGAACCTCAGGCCATTGATCTCGGCCTATTTATTCAGCCTGTCCAGATCCGTCTTCAGAGCCTTTGTATCCTCTAGCATATTGACACTCCCACCCAACTTGATGTTGTCCTCAAATTTACTAAAATTTTACTAAATTTTACTAAATTTACTACAATTACTAAACTTACTAAATTTACTTACACTTGATCCTCTCATCCAGATCATCAATAAAGATATTGGACAGAACTGGGCCAAATACTGCTGACCATGCTGCTTTTGAGGCAGCCTAGGATGTAGTTGGCTTTCTAGGCTGCCAGTGCACATTACAGTTCTTGTTGATCCTTTACCTAAGTCTTTCTTTCCATGGCTGCTTTCAATTCATTCTCTTCCCAGGCTATATTTGTTCTTGGGATCACCCTGACCCAGGTACAGGTCTTGCACTTGGCCTTGTTGAACTTCATGAGGTCTGCACACCTCTCAAGCCTGTCAAGGCCACTGTGGATGGCATCTCTTCCCTTTAGAGTATCAACACCACTCGGCTTGGTGTCATCCACAAACTTGCTGAGTGTGCATTCGATCCCAGTGTCCGTGTCCCCAACAAACGTCTTAAATAATACTGATTCCAATGCTGACCTTTGAGGGACACTTCTTGTCACTGGTCTCCACTTGGACACTAAACCATTGACTGCAACTCTTCTGAGTGCCACCATCCAGCCAATTCCTTGTCCATAGGGTGGTCCACCAATCAAATCCACGTTGGCCTAGTTTAGGGACAAGGATGTTGTGCAGGACATTATCAAATGCTTTGCACAAGTCCAAGTAGGTGACATCAATTGCTCTTCCCTTATCCATCAGTGCTGTAATTCTGCAATAGAAGGCCATCAGATTTGTCAGGCATGATTTGCCCTTAATGAAACCATGTGGGCTGTCACCAATCACCTCCTTATTTTATGTGTGCCTTAGCACAGTTTCCAGGAGGATCTGCCCCATGATCTTGCCAGGCAAGAGGCAAGACCTGAGACTGACTGGTCTATGGTTTCCCAAGTCTTTCTTTCTAGCCTTTTTAAAAATGGTAGTTATATTTCCACTTTTCCAGTTACTGGGAAATTCACCAGTGTGCCACAGCTTTTCAAATATGATGGAGTACCAAGTATTTATTGTGGGAGTAATGACAATTGTAGCAAGGATCACTAAAATGAAAACTACCCAATATATTTTCAGTATTTTTTGTTTTACTTTATTTGAATGTCTGTTTTCTAGTTGAAAACTGAGTGGATATCAAACATGTTACATTTCTGTATTTCTCAACTTTAAAGGCTAATCAAAAGGAAATAGACTCATGGAGACTCATGCAGTAGGTTGATTCCAGTTTGCCTGAGATGCCATTGCATTAAAAACCAAAATGGTGCATTTTCTGTCTGAAACAAAGGAAAATTATGTCTGGGCCTTTGCCATTGTTTGTGTTGAAATATGTATAATTTAATCTACCACAGCCCATACCAAGAAGAAATAACTACAGACTTCTCTGCCTCACCTCAAATAGTATACTTCTGCAATTCTAACAGATAACCATATTTGATGCGGAGTCTGAAGATGAGCAGGACATTGATTTGGCAATTCTGACTGCACTCTTGAAAGGTATTGAAAAATATGACCTATTTTCATCTGATATAGAGTCTCATTGACTTGCCTGTTCAAAGCAAAGGAATGACATTAATGTGTGAAAACTGCTAGATCCTTTACTTGTTTCCTAGGTACAAATATGTCTACTTCAGATCAGCTAGGTTTGGCATTGGCCTGGAACCAGCTAGATATTGCCAAGAAACATGTACTCATTTATGGACAACACTGGAAGGTACGATTACCTTTTATTTTTCACAGTGTCTTTACACTTTATTATGATGACTAATTTTCCATGATTTACATTTGTCAAGCTTTAATTAAGAAATAGTTCGATGATTGGAATCAGTGTCCTGTAATCTGCTGTGATTTTGGAGGGGCATTATCCTTAAAACTGTGGAGTATTCAACTGCAGAACGCATCAGATCTCATCTGTTTCTCCAGAGAGGAGTTGACAATTATCAGTTGTCAGGGATATTTCATTTTAGCCCAAAACATTCTTTTCTCCAAAGATGTAAGCTCTGAAGGAACATTGCATCTGTTTTCCTTGCTCTAGACAGAAATACAGAAATCACAGTGTAAATCACCAGGTTAAAAAAAAGGCAAAATTAACTGTGGTAACATTATCTTAGATATCGTTTCTTAGGAATACCCACAATGAAGGCAAGCCATGATTTAGACCTACATTAACTATATCTATGTGAACGAACATAAAGTAGGAATTAAATCAGTCCCATAAATTGTGGTTTCCAAGTTTTCAGGTGTAATCCAGTATTTAAGTATAACCTCCCTTAGCAAGATTTTTATGTACATAACATGATTTTTATATATGACAAATATAAAACTCTATGTGCCTTAACATGTTTTTCCCATTTTTATAAAAGTTAGTATTTTGCTCAAGAAATAATATCTGATGGTCCCAGAAGTACTTCCTAAGTTTTCTCTGCCAAGAATTACAAGGTTGATTTTTCCAGTCCCAAGTGTTTCTTCTTTAAAATGTAAATTTTGAAAAAGATACAGTTGTATATATATATGAGTGGCCATAGCTGGTTGTTTGCCACAACAAGAGACCTGAATTTTTTGTCACCAGCCCATACTTTCCTGTGGTGTGTAAAGCTGAAGGAGGACTATGCCTGAGGTGTCTACAATTAAACATCCATGAATTCAATATTGGATATTAGGAAAAATTTGTTCCCCAAACCAGTTATCAACCATTGGAACAGCCTACACAGAGTGTGGTTGAGTCACCATTCCTGGAACTATCTAAAAGACATGTAGAGATGTGGCACTTCATGACATGGTTTAGAAATGGACTCATCAGTGTTAGGTTTGCAGATTGACTTGATGATCTAAAGATCATCAGACTAAGTGATTCAATGATTCTGTGTGTATGAGAAGTAAGGAATAACATCTTCCTAGTCCCCACCTCTTTAATACACAAGAGTTTAGAGAACAATTGAATAGTTCAGCCTCTTTATTCCTGGCTCTTCCAAGGTGATTATCTGTTCAGTTTTTCCATTTTTCTGACCATATTTTCTGCTATTCTGTGTGCTTTTTTCAGATGTAAAAGTCATCTATTGAGACAGGCAGACCAGCACTGTACTCAATTTTCTAATTTAGATATTTAGTGAAATACTAATATTTTACAGATTGTTCTCTATTCATCTAAGGATAATTATCTAAGAATAAATCTAAGATAACTATCTAAGAATAATTATCTAACAATAAATCCTTATAGGTTGTATGCTTTTTTTTACTGGTTTCTAACTTGTATTCATGCCTTGAGAAGGTAGGTCCACTAGAATTTTAACCTTACTTCCACTTACTCTACTGTATTTACCCATTTTCTACTGTCTTCCATGATGCTGTTACAGGGGTTGAATTCAACTGTACTTCAGTTCCCTGGGAACTCTTAGGTGAATACATTTTGCTACCAATTTATGGATGACTTCTATAGTCTTTTCTACCGACACTTCAATTTGACACAGTTCCTCAGATTTATCTGCCATAAAGAACAGCTTCAAGTATATGACTTTCCCACACTGTTCTGTAGTGAGCAGTGAGGCAATGAATTAGTTTACTGTGTCTGCAATAACCTTATCTCCTTGAGTGTTTCTTTTATACGCTGATTATCCTCTGACCTTTTAGATCCACTGGCAGGACCCCTACTCCCACTTCTCTGCTTCTGATATGTTTGAAAAAAATCTGTGTACCTATTCATATCTATTTCAGTACAATTGTTCAGCAGCATTTGATATGAAAAGCCATTGTCAAATAATGACTATATTCCCCACTTTCAGTAAGACATAAAGATCTCGTAATAAATAAGCCTCAATCTTTTGCTTCTCCAAGCAAAAATTAAAATGACATATACTCCTGAAAGTTTTTGTTTTGACTGAGCAGAAAAAAATAATTAACAACTACTTTCTTCTTGCACTGGAAAAAAAAAGTATAAGCACAGTATTTAAGTTTGCCTTTAAATTAGTTGCTTTCTAATTGAAGAGGTGTAACCCTCTGACTGTCAGGAACTGCCAGACCTGCAATCATCAGAGGCTACAGCTTCTGCAGGGTTATTGTGATTGTGTGTTCAAATTTTGAATTATGTTTTTAAGCAGCAATTTTTAGGTGATTGTAGAGTCTTAGTATATTTCTGTCTATGTAAGTGTTTCGAGGAAACATGCACAGTTAGGCACAGATTGTGGCCATTTCTTTTACAACTCTGGTCCTAGAAGTTCAGAAGGTAAAGACTGTAATGAGCTGTAATTATGTTTCTGCTCAAATGTCAACTCAATCTCAAATGGACTTCACACCAAAGAATGTCATTCTAGTAGTTACCAAATAGCTGTCTAAACCTCTTCAGACACACTACCAACTCAAGGAATGACTGCTACAAGAAATTTAATACAAGAATGGTCAGTCACTCTGAGATATTTCTGGAAGAAACACCAATAATTAAGGATCAGTGCATAAGTATTCTTTTTACGTGTGAAAATTCTGTCATATTTATTGGTCATCTTTTGACATAATTTCTGTCAAACGTCAATATGTACACAGAATGGACTAACTTCAGGCTAGGAGTAACACCTGCCCCAGTGCCAGCCTCCTCATTCTGCTCACCCCACTGCATTTCCTGTGCATACATGTTCTGTAGAAAAACTTTATGTGAATTTATATGAACCTCATATGTCTAACTCCTTTGCTATTTTGCATGTAGAAACCTTGCTGAGCTCTGCACAAGTGCCATGAGTACAGTGCTTTCACTGTTTGGACACTATTGTAGGTAGATTTCTGCTTCATGGTTTCTTTAAGAGAGTTTATTCTAATACATGTTGCCTCTTATTTGAAAAAAGTCTGCTTTAAAGAAATTTCAGTTCTATAGAGAGGTTTTGAAATAGAGTATCTTGAAATATCTTTTGTCATATGTCAAAAGAAAGGCTTCCCTCCACCCCGTGCATTATCCTACATTGGCTTTTGAAGTGAGTTAGAGAGTAGAGAATGTATTATCAGAGTCTAGTTGTAAAGTTACATTCGTAGAAGTCTCTGCAGATGTTGGGTTTATGGTAACTCAGTTTTGCTTCTCCTCTTTGTTGGATTTTTTTACAGAGATGCTTCCTCCAACATATTTTTCTTTTGTACTGTACACTTTAAAGAAACATAGTCATTTTGGTAAAGGGATTATTAGCTGTTCAGGAATGTTTTATTTATTTCCAAATGTAATTTTCTAAGCTTTTCCTCCAACTCTGTCCATTTGGAGGTTGGTGCCTTGGAACAGGCAATGCTGGATGCTTTAGTGATGGACCGTGTGGATTTTGTGAAGCTGTTAATAGAGCATGGAGTGAACATGCACCATTTTCTTACCATATCTCGTTTAGAAGAACTCTACAATACGGTGAGTATTTGGAATTCCAGTGTACAACTGGAAATTAATGGGTTTTGCTAATTTTTGATTGTAATGTGGGATTTTTGGGTTGGTGTACCAGCTAGTTATTTTTGATTCACTATCTTAAACCAGACTGAGTATTAACATGAAGCTTATGAGAAATATGTTCAGATTTAAATCCGGTAAAGACATGCTTGTCTTGCTGAAAATGCTATGTTGTTTAGATCAAAGCTATATCAGCTTCTTTCTAGAATATGTCATGATTTAAGACAGTAGATGTGTTGCAGATTAGTGTTGAAATATTTTTGAAGAGACTTGGGTGTAGATGTTAAATGGAGAGAGCTTCAATTGCAGTAGCTTATTCTGAAGATTTTTTAGCTGATTTCTTTTACTGTATTGATTTTCTAATGTAGAGTGGCATGGTTGTTTACTGTCTTTTCTTTTCACACCACAGAAACAAGGACCATCAAATCTACTGTTATATCACCTAGTTCGAGATGTGAAACAGGTAATAGACATAGGAAAGGCTGGGGAGCAAAAATGGTAGCTTAGAACTTCAGTGTCCACTGGCACACTGCTATTAGATAACACAGGGAAATTTTAGGAATAGAAGTGATGGGTTCATTATTATGGTCCTATATCTGCTAAATGGTTTTATCTTAATCCCATGGATCCCCTAAGAAATTAACAAGCACACTTCTATTGAGGCTCCCAAGGATCCTGTACTTTAGTTTCAAAGCCAAGCAGTTTGTGTAGATCAGACTCTCTTTCTCAAATTACTGATGTGACGTTATGAAGTGATTGTACAAAAGACTTAGTGAATTAGTGCAATAATTACTGTCATTGTTTTAGGGTTTTCCTTTTTTCCCCCAAGCTAAAATATTCTTTCCTTGTTGAGCAATAACAAAAAGATACTGTGACAAAATATAATGTTATTTTAGAGTGTTGCTTTGCCTAGGAGAACAGAGGGTGGCAGTGGATGACTACTGCATGTAGCACTGGCTCCATCAGTAATTTAGTGTCAGCCTTGTTATTTGGGTACATCATTAATTTATTTCATGTTTCTGTTATCTATTGTACCTCACAGCACTGCTTAGCCAGGAAGGGATGAGCTATTACTTAGGCATCTAGACTTCACTGCAGGGGATTCCTAGATCCAAAAATAGATTAATTGGCTAGTTCTTTCTAGGGTATGAATGCTAAGATAAAATCCTAATCTTTGCAGAGTTCTGTTGTATTTGTGGTGTGATTTTATTATTGTGGGTGATTTTCATGTCAATCTCATTTATGGTTCTTTAGATAGATGTATGGTATTCTGATCTCCATAACAAACTGTTTTGTGTATTTTCCCTTATTGATGAACATATTCAAGGTCTGATTTATGTGAAAGATCTGGAAGAGCTCGGTGTTGAAAAAACATCTAACTTATCCAAGCTGAAAAATCTGTCTCCCTCACTGATACTGAAGTAATTGATATGACCCCTCTCCTAAAATCCATGCCCTGTATGTATTTCAGGACACTTTGGGAAAACTCAGCGTGTGATCTGAAGAAAAACTTTTGACACTTAATATATGTTAATGGAATTTATGTAAAAATTATCTGCACAATATCAAAACTTTCTATACCATTGTGTAAGCTAAACTTACTTGGGATCTGCACTCAGGGCTAAATGCTGTAAACCCTTTTTCACTGGAGCTTCTGTTAATATGTGTAAGTGCTCTGTTAATGGGTCATGCAGTTGCAGTCTACTATGGTGACACAGTAGGTGGGACAGTCACCAGAGTGATGTGATCATGGATTTCAGAATATTTTCTCCATTAGGGTTACCACCTTTGATTCTGCTTCATTTGAATGGAGATACATTGCAGTCTGCTCGGATATCATAAAATGTGAGGCTTAGTGCAGAGAAGTATCTACAAGTATAGGTAGTCAGAAATATTTGCCTAACTAACTCTCAACAACAGAGCTGACAAGCTCCATTCAGTGAGATGTACTTTTGCCCCAGAGTGTTCAACATGTTGAAACATTCTGCTACTCAAGGCTGGGTGGCCTTAGCTGACTATTGAAGTCTATTGAAAAAAACCTCAGTCCAGAAGAAAGACTTTTCACAGTCTGAAAGGCATGTACTGCTAGAAATACATAATGTCTCAGATCCTATTTATGTACAGGCCCATTTTTCACTTTAAAGACTTGCACTTTAAGGTTTTACCAATAATTTTCACATCTGTGTGGAAAATAATCTGTTCTTCAGAGAATTTGTCACAAACTAAAGGGTGCGGGAAGGACAGTGAAGGTACTTTAAGCAGAAGTGGTTAGAGATTCAGAAGGTAGAGCTAATGCACATACAGTTTCTGTCTAGTTGACAAGAGACAGTCTTGAGCCTCTACAAGGCATTTCCAGTCTCCAGGAACTATCTGCATCATTAAATACATGCTTCACCTACTTCTTGATTTTTAATTAATGAATGAGCTTAATGACCAAATCACCCCATGCTAGTTTTCTCTTGTTATGAGGAGAAGATTTTTGTCTGTCTCTCTGATGTTCGTGATTGTCCTGAAGAACGACTACCCTCACAGTTGAATGAAGCCGATCTTGGGATCATGCATTATATGTCCCTATGCAACGTGTGTGCAGTCAACTGTAAACGTCACATTTTTCAGCCTGAAAATGGGATGTGCCTGTGTTCTCTTTCCAAGGGAGTTCCATATTCCTAATGAATGTGTACAGTTTCCGGAGAGCAGGAGCTCTCAGTTGCACATTTTTCCAGACTACCTCTTAGTAGGGCTCTGACATGGCTGACTGTGGTATGTAATAGCATCATGAAAAGTTTGTGACATTGGTGTTTCAGAATACCCTTCCTTTGGATTACAAGATATCACTGATTGATATTGGACTGGTAATAGAGTACCTCCTTGGTGAAGCTTATCGGAGCAGCTACACAAGGAAGCATTTCCGAATTCACTACAATGATCTCTACAGAAAACATAAGGTAATTTCTTCAAAATTACTACCACTAGTCTTCAAGAAAAGCCAAAATGTGACACCTGAAAATAGCTCAGGTTGTCATTGTGGTTTGCCTGAAGAGCATCAGTTAAAGGTATGCCAGACTTGTCTGTTTTATAAATCTCTTTGCCAGCTGTGGGGAGGTTGCAAATAAAACAGACAAATCCCCAAGAGTACCAATTGTTAAATTAATTCAGTAAATTTACCTTTGTGTCCAGTAGTTGGGTTGTGTTCTTTGTCTGTCATCCATTAATAAAGATCAAGAAGACTGTACCAACCATCGTTTTCCCTTTTCTGAAGCAGTTGCATGTTTCTGTTCTTGCAACTTGAACCACATCACAGAAATAGTGAATTCCACATGCCTTGAACTAGACTTAGGGTGTGTCATCATTTTCCCTGTTGACTTTCCAAAACCAGTAACTTAAAAGGAGCCTAAACTTCTCAATAAATTAGCTGAATATCATTGCCAACATCACTGCATAAAAATTCTACGCAGTTTTTATAGTAGAACTGGACTTTGATTGAAGTAGTTCCACATGTTGAAAAACAAACAACAAAACCCTATCATCCCCATGAACTGCTTTCATGACTAAGAGAAGAATCTCAGGAGGATCAGGGAAAATGAGAATAATGAAAACTGTTACTTGTAGTGAACAGAAACAGAGAAAAAGTTTCCTGTATGTCACTAGTTTAATACAATGCTTAAAGAAAGATATATGAGCAGTTGTAACACTTTTCACTGTTTGCTGATGAAATATAACCTTAACAGGAATGGATGAAACTTTATAATCATATAACTAAGTACTACAGGAAAGAGCATTATTGATTCAGCTCGTAACATTCTTCCCTCTGTGTCAACACTGAACAAAATCTATAGGGATGCTAGATGTTCAAAGGAAACAAGCAGCAAACAATTCAGAGACTTCTGTTTTCCAAAGGACTTACGGCACTTTATAAAAAAGGTTGGCACTCAGAAGAGCTTCCAGTTGGATTATTCTAGTCTGGTACAAACCCTGTTGTTGTTTTAACTGATTGATGCTATTTGGAATATCAATATTTTGAACTCAGAGTTTCAGAAAAATATATATTCTTTTAACTAAGATGTGAAACAGGCTATTTTTTTCTTTATTGTATAAGTTCCACTGGTAGTTATGGTGATTACTGACTCACTAGTTTTTGAATAACATCAGTTTTCCACATGCAGTATTGCAGTCAGAAAGTACAAGCATATATCTACAGGCACAAAATCATATCTAATTTGCATTTCTTTCCTTGTGTTTTGTGGTATGCCTTTGGATCTAGAGAATACTCTCCAGCTTTTCTCAGAGCCTGTCTCATTCCTTTCATCAGAGTAATAGGATGAATAGTGGAATGGGATCTACTGAAAGTACTTTGCATTCTCAGTTCTTCAGAACAGCACAGCCTTACAAATACAAGGTAATATAGTTGCTTACTTTAGACTTGGGGATCTTGGAGTCACAGGGTTTGGAGAATGCCCAACACTCTGGAAAAGGAAGCTATAAAAGGCATGGATGCCGAGCAAGGAGTATTTTTCCTTCAGTAGTATTACCAACTTCTTAGCGTTGGTAATCTGAACATGATCCTAGCTTGTGGTTTATGACTTAAATATATATAGCTATCAAACAATTGCAATTGTTTGCAATATCAAATACTTGCAATTCAGATTTGTGTGCAGTTTATTCTTATGAATCTGAATCTCAATCATTTGTTGGGATTTTCTTTTTTTTTTTTTTTTTTTTTTTTTTTTTAACAAATTTACAGGAAAGATCCAGTGCTTTCCATAAATATAAGAAGAAATTAAAAGAGGATATAAACTATGCAGAGAATTATGAGTCAACTGGCTTTATCTACCCCTATAATGACCTCCTGGTTTGGGCAGTATTAATGAAAAGACAGAAGATGGCAATGTTCTTCTGGAAGCATGGAGAGGAAGCCATGGTCAAGGCTGTTGTAGCTTGTAAACTCTACAGGGCAATGGCACGTGAAGCTAAACAGAGCAACATGGTGGATGATACTTCAGAAGAACTGAAGAAGTATTCAAAGTATGAGTTGTCCCTTCAGTTAATAAAGTTCTGCAGTGCTTGGAATGGTTAGATATTTTCCTAATCCACTAAGAGTTTATAGGGTTAGTGATCCCATGGACTATGGAGTATAAAACAAATTATCGATATTATATAATGGATCTGTGTATTGGTGTGCAGTCTGGTTGAGAGTTAAAGAAAAGCTATTTGTATATTCCCTAGATGCTTTTTTGAAAATTAAATTATAAGTGAGTAATGCATGGCTCTCTGTCTGCTAAATGGTCAAGTGAAAGGCTGAAATTTCCCTTACAGTTCAATTTGTTAAGAAGCCATATGGCGCACAGGTGTTGGACTTTTCAAATCTGTAACAAGTAGTAATGAATGAACTAAAATCAGTGCTAAAATCCTGCTCTGTGTAAGACTAAATCAAAAATGTATCCTGAAATAATTGAGTGAATAAAAGGAAAGTAGACAAAGAATTTTCTTCAGGTTTGCAATTTTCAGTTGGTGTTTTCTGATAGTTTTTCTTAGTAGTAATATATTTTAGTTAGTAATATATCTTGTGCTTTGTAGACTTCATGCCTAAAATTCAGGTACAATAAAAATGTACTGCCTTCTTTTGTATGCAGCTCCAAAGCTTAATTTTTGAAGGAATTGTAGTTTCCTTGGACAGTGTTTCCTACAGAGATGTTTTAAAGCCTGTCTAATAGAAGAGACTTTTGCAGCTGCCTGCAGTGCTTGCCCACAGTGGTGATGAATCTGTTGAAGGATATACACAGAATTTCGTAGGGTCCATTTTGATCACTGAGAGAGCTTAAGAACAAAACAAATAAAAAAAAAGAAAACAGGATGACTCTAAACCTTGTGATTAGGAATAAATGGTTAAGTTTAGTCCCTAAAATGCTTTTCACTAGTTATATTTTTAAAGCAATGAGAAAAATGGGAGAAGGCACGCTTACTCAGATTTCTAGTTGAACTTTAGTTACGGGAGTATTCACAACAACCTCTTTGCAGCAATGATTCTGAGTTTGGATAGATCCCTGTTATATTGACTGTTAATTCTTTTCTGCTTTAGGGAATTTGGGCAGCTTGCCTTAGATGTGCTGGACAAAGCATTCAAACAAAATGAGCAGATGGCCATGAAATTGCTGACCTATGAACTGAAAAACTGGAGCAACTCAACTTGTTTAAAACTAGCGGTTTCTGTAGGCCTGCGGCCTTTCATATCCCATACATGCACACAGAGGCTGCTGACTGATATGTGGATGGGACGCTTGAAGATGCGGAAGAACTCCTGGTTTAAGGTAACACGACTCTAGCTTTTTCTGAGTATTTAGAAGCTCTTTAGATGCTTTATGCTTGTTTTGTTGTTTATGAACATGGCTAATGCAGCTTCAGACAGTTGTGCTTAAGCACGTGTTGGAATGTGCACATATGGAAAACAAAAGAAAGGCGGGGGGGAAACGGTACTTGCTTCTGGTTTATTTCTTTGCAAAGGCACCTATGGGATGACATTAGGAGAGGGGATTTATTTTCCTATTCCTATTATGTTCCCATTCTCTCAGCACTCTTCAGTCCCCCCTTACCTGCTCTTGGTTCTGCACATTGCTCGTTCCCTGACAGAGCTGCTGATGGGAGTAATGCTCTCTGAACATAGGAAGCGGTATTGTAAGCATCCCCAGATACCATGGCACTCTTGAAAGCCACAAAACAGACAAGAACAATACACTCCTTCAGAGGCTGTCAGAGTGTGATACAGAGATTCCCAGCACCAGTGGCTTCCTCCCAGGCCAGTGGAATTGTGCTGGGTTTGTGCTGACACCACACATGGCTGACTGTGGCTTCAGGTCTATTGAGCAATTAATTTCTACTGAAATAATTTCCTGAATCTTGTGTTTCTCTTTTAGGTCATTATGAGTATTCTCCTCCCTCCTGCCATCTTGATGCTAGAGTTTAAAAGCAAGGCAGAAATGTCTCATGTTCCTCAATCTCAAGACTTCCACCAGTTCACGTGGTATCATGGGGATCAGAGCCCAATCAGCTCTAAAGATACTTTGTCTCTGGTTAGTCTGTGATGATTATAATTTGAGTGTCAGAGTTTGTTTGTTTACCACAGTATAATTCTAAGGAGGGAAAAGATGGTCATCAGCTGGAAGTGCTGGAACCCAGTTCTCATGATGTAGTCATTAGATCCCTGGTTTGGATACGGACTGATGTGAACTTGGGCGAGTTGCTTCATCTGTCCTGGATGTCACTTCTATGCTGGTCATAATGAGAAAATCCTTCCCAACCTCACACAAGTATATTGAGATTATACTTATCTGTCAGTTGCAGGTCTTTTAGGGCACAAAGTCTATTCAAGCTGCAGGTAAATACCTATGTAATCTTGTGTACCAATGTAATCTTGTATACCAAATAGTCTAAGAAAGATTTCATGTCATACGCAAAATCACAACTATAAAACTCAATTCAGGTTGCCCACGTGGGCAGGGAAACAGCAGAACTGTGACAGTCCAGGTCCCATCCTTTCCAACTCACTCCTCCTTACCATTCTGCCTGACCACTGTCCAATGCTCTGCATCTCAGCCTCAGCCTCTCCCCTTCTCCGTGACCATCCTTCCCTCTTACTCTCTCCTTGTAGTTTTGTTTCCTGAATTACATCGTAGCCCTTCCAGAGGTCTAGCACCTGTCTTACTTGATGAAAAACAGGGTGTCTTCTGCATTCCTTGAGCCTAGCAAAGGTGCTATTTAAAGCATCTTAAAGCTGTTTAAAGGGAAGCACTGTGCTTTTGGTTTAGTCATCTGAACCAAGTGCCAAAACACGCTGCAGAGACAGGTGGTTGTGCAAAAGTCCTTCTTAGGCTTGTTGGTGAGGAGTCTCCAGCATAAGTGAGGTGATGTCTTTGCCTTTTGAGATCTTCAAGAATTCTCCAAGATTTCTGTTAATACCCTTTCTCATTCTCCACCACACATTCCTTGAACTGAGAATTTCCAAAAATTTTCAGTCTGAGCTAGACGTGGACAGACATGGAGAATTTCTATGCCAAAGGGTAAATGTTGATGAGGTGCTAACCCATGAAAACATGATTGCTAAGTGAGAGCTGTCAGGCAACTTTTTGTTCTCTGCTTACCTGACATCAGATAAATATTGTAGATTGCTTGGGACCTTCTCAATTAACTTTCAATTTGTGTACAGTAAAAGAAGACAGATTGTCTTTGAGGACTTTGGGTAGACTTATTTTTGCCACATTTTTTTTCTGTGATGCAGAAAAATGCTCAAAGCCATTGTCTCCTGTGGTTTTTGTCTAACATGATTCAAAAATTATTTTTATAGGGTTAGGTAACAGCTATGATACAGAGGACAGGCCAGTTGTAATTATTTGCAGTAGGATTACCTCTGCAGTCTGGCAGAAGGCTGCAGAGAAATGTGTATAAGTACTTTTTTTGATCTGCCTCAGATAGGGCTTCTCCCTTCCTGCACTAGCAATAAGCTTACTTTTGATTTTATCTATTAGAGAATTGTTTAAAGCACAAGTCTGAGCTAATGATTTTTCTTAAATAATCTTAATAGGAAATAATATAGAAAAATATACAATTTCAATAGTGTACATATGCCTTCACAATTCCAATGACCAGCTGCAGCTGGAAATCGCACTCTTTCATGAGATGTATTCTCTCCTTCACCTAGGAAGATCTGATATTAACATATTGAGATGATTCTGTATATCAAATTCTGTGGTTTAGCCCTTTTTCAAGTTCAGTGTGATGAAAAAAATCCGTCCCCCCCCGCCCTGATAACTCAAGGAAACTTTATGTAATAGGGAAAATACATTACATAAGAAGTTCTATACTGTAGATATCTAGTAGCAATAAGTTTTAGAACTGATATTAGCCAAGACAATTGGCCAGCATTGAAACAAAACTGAACAAGTTAGTTTGGTTCCCTCAGCCTTGCCCATAGTTCAAACGAGTAAACTTGTCATTGTTAGCACTGTTCTCTATCAAATTGAGCAATGTGTGTGTGCATCTCTCAGGCCTCCCTCCTTCATCACTGAAAACTCCTTTAAGCACCTTCTGGTTTTGTCAGTTGCCCCCTGCTATGTCTGCAGCTTGTTTTAGGCTTCAGCAGCAATCAGATATTTGAACTTTCAGAGGTGTACTCAAGCAAATTGTGGATACAAAATGAAGTATGTTTACTTTCTTGGGTGTCAATTTGTTTTTATTTTACTGAAGAAAATAAAGGAATTATCTTTATAATGCATAGGCAGATCTTCGTTAGAGAGTACTTATTACAACCTTATCTTCTAATCAGATGTAAAATACAGCAAAAATAACAATTAGATTCCGTATTTAGAATTTCACTGTCTTGACATTTTCTGTGCAACTGTATATATCAGCAGAAATGTGATGTTCTTTTTTCAGAATGTAATCAGAAGTGTTAGTGGAATTCTAGCTAACACAGTTATGTTGAATGGAAGTTGTTATTTATATACATTTTACAGATGGGGAAAGTGAGACACAGAGTGATTACGTGATGCTTAGAGACTTAAAGAAATGTGTGGCAGAAATAGGAGTGGACTCAGGTCTGCTGACACCAGGTCCACTGTCTGTAGTCATAAGACCAAACTCTAAATTAGTATTTCTAGTGGGAAAGTGTGCATGGTAGTTGTTGCAAATGAGATGGTTGTAACCAGAATAAAGCAAACTATAGTAATGGTTTAGACCAGAGCAAAGTTTAGACATTTGTGTCTGTTTTCCCTCTGAAACGACACTACCTTTGCAATCATAGACTGTTGTTTCTTACTTTTAAAATGCTGTTTTCTTTTAAAGAAGGATTACGATGTGGAAAAACTTGCTCAGAAGACTGGTGAAAGCCAAGTAGATGGTGGACAAGGAGACCTACCTGGCACTAGAAAAATCTATGAGTTCTACAACGCACCAATTGTCAAGTTCTGGTTTCACACGGTTAGTGATCGTGCTAGAACTTGGATTGACAAATCCTTCCTTTGATCCTTCAAATGCCACTTAATTCTGCTTTTACTTTGCAGTCACTGGTAGGTGTAGATGGGATGATATTTGAATATTTCTCTGGCAATTAAGTGGAAAGATTTTCTACTAAAGTCATCTAACTGCGTTAAAACAAACAAAAAGAAAGACAACAGAAAAACAATTATAAGGAACTAAAGAAAAGCTCAAGCACAGGTTTTTACAGTGGTCAATTGCACATGTAGAGACAGATTTGAAGCTGGCCTTAAATACCTTTAGTATCTCACAGATATTTATGTCCCTTTCTTTGGGAACTGTTTCTGAAAGAGTGAATATTAATCTATAGGAGATCATTTGCTACAGAAAAATATGCATTTATTAAATCAGTTTAAGTAACCCTGTGTCAGTAGAGCTCAGGATGTTTAAGATCAGGCTGCCCATTGGGTCAGACCACCATGTGCATAAACGTTTACTCCTTTAATGGGCTGTGCTTAACTGCTTTATAGATTGTTAATCTCTTATGTCAGATACATTTACAGCATGTTTTCCACCTCATATTGTTCTTCCTGGGTTTTGGAAGGCACTGATTAACCAGCAGTGATTTATATAACTTTGAGAATTGTTACCTCCTATAGAAGGTTGGGATAAAAGCATAGGACTGCCTTTATGTTCAAGAAATAGTGTGCAGACCACAGAAGAGAATCACAGAATAGTTAGGGTTGGAAGTGACCTCTGGAGACCATTCTGCCCAACATCCAAGTTGAAATAGTCTGTCTCATATATGGGGTGAACATGTGCTGCAATAGTTTATTTTCTGCTCCTACCTATTTTTTCAGCGCTATAGTAGCAATTTCCAAATGGTGTTTAAGGACATTCCCATAGAAACAAAACAAAATAAAACAAAACTTTGGAGAACTAGAATAAAGATTTTGCGTTCAAACATTTGACAGTGCCCTAGTAGTTTGAATACATATATTCAGGTTAATTACCTATTACTATGTTTGCAGAAATTTGTTGGAGATTTTTGTGCATATGGATTATATACTTTGTCTTTTGTAGATGTCATACATGGCATTCCTCATGCTCTTTACTTATACTGTGTTGGTGAAGATGGGACCAAGACCAAGTGTGCAAGAATGGCTTGTTATCATTTATATTTTCACCACTGCTATTGAAAAAGTCAGAGAGGTAAGCTTTTCCATTCACTCTTCTCATCTGTAGAGGGTATGTCATAACCCAGAGAATACCATAATCTGAAGAATGCCAAATCCTGCATTATTTTTGTATAGAATTCAGCAGAGGAAAGAATTATACAGGGAATTAATTTATTAGAAGACTTTTATTTGAAGACCAGTGCTTTGGCCTTGAAAATGCATCTTAAATTTTGTCCTTCTTTTCTGTGTAGAGCTGCTGGTAATGTGCAGGTCACTTGAGAGTGACTGTGCTGAATTGAGATTTGGAGCCTTGATGTAGTCACATGTTTCTTAATTTTTTTGAGTGGACCATTAGATTTCTAATAATGAAGATATTTAGATATTTATATTAGATATTAAACCTGAGTGTGGACGTTGTTATGAATTAGTAAGTATTATTCATAGCAAAATCTAGGGCTCTCCCTCAAGACTAACTGACCTTCTATAAACGAACTTGGAAAAAAACCACCATGCACTTTTAATGCTGGATACATTGAGCGCAGAAAAATGATATTCCAATCAAAATTGATTGCAATTATTTGCCGTTGATTAGACCCAGGCTTCTGGACACAACTTGCTCTCTAAACCTGAGTGTGGGGACAAATGGAGCTATGTATTTCCCAATTTATTGTATCTGAGCCAATTTACCTTCACTGTAAAATTAGCACATAGTAAACAATAGTAATGTGAATTATCTTTTGTATGACATTTGAAATGCTGTCCTTCCAGAGGAATAAATAGCAAAAAATCAGCCACAGTTCTGAGTGAAGTTGATGTTAATGCAGATCACTCAGAAGACTGTGACAGCAGTATTGAGGTGAAAGATTTCAAGGGGTGGCACAAATTCTGGAAGTATATAGAAGCTTGGATAAATTTGCAAGTTCTGTCTCTGCATGAGATAAGATTGAAAAAATCACCAGGATTCCCTAAATGAGAAAAATGTTGACATTTGAAAATCTCTGTTGGACTCTTGCATCATCTTGATGGTGGGACAGTGGAAACATCAGCTCTTCTTTCTAGCATGATCATTCACTGCACAGTTTGAAATTGATGTCTTCTACTTGATTTTCTTTATCCATGTTCTAGTTCTGTTCTGTTGGCAAAGACTTTGTAGGACACTTTGTCTTACACATGCAGCTTTTAACTGCTGAGGGCCTTGTTATATATAACTGCAAACCTCTGTTTCTCTAGATTGTATCAACTAATTGTTAAAGCCTTAGGCCCTGATCCTGCAACTACTTAGTCATGTGAGTTAGTCCAGATCACTTGTTTACATTAATGTGTTTGTATGCATAAGTTCTTGCAAGATTGGGGCATAACATTTCAAAATCTTTCCTTTACTTGGTACTTATGAGTGTGACCTTACACACTGCATAACTGGCCTCACTTGCGGCAATGTGCAAAGGTTTTATTTATGGCCTCCCAGAGATTCCACTTCACACATTTGCTCAATGAAGCTTAAAATCCCTTTGGGGCATCTCACAGTTCAAGGAGTGAACATTTCACTCTTTACCTTGCTAGTTGCCAGCCCTCTTTTTTTTTAAGGTGTCCTTGGTGGAATACAAGGATCTTTCTTTATATTTTTGGTCTGAAGTAAAAGGCATTAGTTATTTTCCCATCAGCAAGGTTAGGCTGGTAGTTTCCATGACTTAGGGGTTTATGAAAACGCCACTGCAGGTCATGACTATCCTTTTAGAAAATGTCTGTTAATTTACGATGATACCTATGAGTAACAATTCTATACTGGCTGCTCTCTTCTGCTGAGGTATGTGTCCTTTAGTGAATGGATTCAGGTTTGGAATCCATTTTTCCTTAGGAAGAGTTATTTGGCATACTTGAGCAATATGATGCTATAGATTAAGTACAAACCTCTGTTGATGGTGAATGGCAATATGCAGTTAATGGGTCTAAAGCAGAAATAAAGAAAAGGGATAGGGGCAGGGGGGGAAATGATACATTCCCAAATGTTGTAAAATAGTTCAGACAGAAAAGGTTAAATAATGTATCTGTGATTTTAATGTCATTTTATTGTGGACTTTTTCCACATTCTACTCAGGTATTTATCTCAGAACCTGGAAAATTCTGCCAAAAAGTGAAGGTGTGGATTTATGAATACTGGAATTTTACTGATTCTATAGCTATCATCCTGTTTATGATTGGTTTTGGTTTGCGCTGGTCCAACCCCCCTGTTCAAACTGCAGGGAGGCTACTTTACTGCTTGGATATTATATTTTGGTATACTCGGCTCCTTGATCTTTTTGCTGTGAACCAGCATGCTGGCCCATACCTGACAATGATTGGGAAAATGGTAAGTATTGTGCTTTGGAGCAGTATTTTTGTAGTTAAGGCATCTATTCAGTAATATGTAAAGCTGAGAAGTGACAGAAAAGACTGATGGTCAAAGGAGAGGTCACCTAATAATTCATAGTGAATGTATTACCTGAAAATACAGTGACTTCTTCTGTTTGTGAGCTGACCATAATCAGATTTAATTTTTCTTTAATTTATTAATTATGTGAATTTATTCAAAAAAGCCATTTTTACGTCATTCCTTAGAAAAGGGTTGTATTTGAATTAATTTTCTTATCCAGCTTGATTATGGAAGAAAAACCACTGCCTCTTGCAGATGGGCTCAATAGTATAGATTCTTCCCCTAGTTCTTGGAAACTGTTTCATTATTATATTACTTCTTGATTAAAATAATTGTATCCCATTTTATCAGAGATCAAAGTTAATTTTTTTTCTTTTAGTATAAGAACTGCTGCTGAACTGCTGCCTAGTCTTGAGGGACATGTGCAAATTCCCACTGTAATTTCACTTCGTTATTGAGGTCTACCTTCTTAATACTTTTACATTTTTTCTTGCATGGTAATTCCAATTCAGTTTTAGAAGGCAAAATAGTTTTCACTGGTGTTCTTTCCTCTCAGTTTGAAAGAAACACCACTGAGAAAAATCATCATCATAAGATCTCTGCATTTTTCAAATCTTGCTTGATATCTAAGAGGGACATAGGAAGCAAGTAGGACTTGTGGCTTTTTTGGTCCAGGAGGATTTTAACCTCTACAAAATGTTCATGTAGTCCAGGTCATAGAAATAAAATATTTTATTTTTTCCAACATGTTAGATTATTTCCCCTGTTTTATACTCTGATTTGCAAAAGCAGATTTCCCTATAATGTATGTCTCTTTCACATCTAATTAACACAACTAATTCTTTCACACAAACATGTCTTCCAGACAGCAAACATGTTCTATATTGTGATTATGATGGCCATAGTTCTGTTGAGTTTTGGAGTGTCACGAAAGGCAATTCTTTCACCAGAGGAGCCTCCTTCTTGGACTCTGGCACGAGATATTGTATTTCAGCCCTACTGGATGATGTTTGGTGAGGTCTATGCTGGAGAAATAGATGGTAGGTAATTTTCATAATACAGTTCAACAGCTTAAATATAATACATGCAGAAACACACCTACTTGGGGCTACTAGAGTTTTGACTACCTGTTTAGTCTGTTCTTTCTCAAACAATTCTGATTCCAGCATTATATATGTCCTTAATGAGTAATACTGCATGAATAATGTTGAGAATATTAGTTTCTTTCTTAAAAATAAAGATTAAGCTCTAAACCCTTCAAATTCAGTGCTTAAAATTAAGTATATTGCAAATCTCAGAGCAAAGCACATAGCAAGTAATATTTAGCTACTTCATTCTCAGGGGATCTGGCACTGAAATGATTTTCTAATCAGGTGAATACAAAGCTGCTCTCTTGAAGAAAAGACTACAAAATTGCCTTAAAAAAGAAAAAAATTAAGGTGGGGGAAAAAAAGGGAGAAATAAGTTACCTGGCATCATTCTTAAACAGGTAAACCATGTGAACATAGGAAAAATAGAACCAATCAATGTAAATAGGAAAAACAATGTATCTTGGTTATGGCTTTGAACTTGTCTTAGCAAGACAGAAGAACCAGGCACTCCAGGAAGTGTTTCAGCATTACCAATGGAAGGCACTCTCATACTACTGTGTGATGGGTACAAGTAAAACAATCCCTAAAATGGACAAGTAGGTATGGAAATAGATACATATATTTAAGTTACATAGTTCAGCACAGACCCAATTCATTAAAATAATTTAGAATATTGCATCCGTTATTACTGCTTGAACAGTCACATGATGACTATGTATTTTGGTTATATAAGTCAAAATTCTTTTAATGAAAGCACACTGTTCAGTTTCACAGTTTAATCCACTTAATCACTTAGTAATGAATGCTAAACCTTTAGAAATTTGACACTTCCCAAATAAAGCTATGATTTCTTTAGTGACTTTTTTGCTCAGAATATGTCCTGAATTTAGAGCTGCTGCTTTATAAATGTGTGTTAAAATTTCCTCAAAGGTCTGAAATTTGATTAGACATTAAAAGGACTGAAAAATATTTATTTTGATATTTTAAAAACATTAAAAGAGATCCCTTAATTTCTATGATTTGTTGCTTCATCCCACAAATATGCATAACCTTATGTATCTTTTTGCATATGAATCAGTGTGATTTTGTGTGTGAAGCTCTAAATGAATATCACTCCAGTACTGATAAAGCAGCCTTTGAGCTCTATCTTTTCCACAGTGGAGTCTGTGAAAGCTTTGCCGCTTGCTTTAAGGATCAGAGATTTGGATTTCAGTTTGCTTGAGTGTGTGCCATCTCTCAAATGCATTTCGGCTGCATTGTTTTTCCCCTTAACAAAAAATTGGAGTGACTGGAATAAGAACTGATATGTATGAAGTGGTATCTGCAGCTTCTGAACTGTGAGGGTAACTATGGGATTGTAGTAGCATAAAGAGGTTGTAGTTTTCCTTTAGGTGAAGGTTGACCTTTTAGTTGGAAGTTTAGTGATCTATATCTGTGAAATTAATGACTATTCTGTTTCTTGCTGGGACAAATGAGAAGCACAGACCATTGCTGTGCTCTGCTCTGATTTCCATGCTAACTATGCTCTGTATGTCCTTAATTTCCAGTTTGTGAAAATAATGAAGACTGTCCTCCTGGCTCCTTCCTCACACCGTTCCTCCAAGCTGTCTACCTCTTTGTGCAATACATCATCATGGTCAACTTGCTTATTGCTTTCTTTAAGTAGGTACCTTGGTATGTTGCTGCAAAAGCAACTAATGCTTCTGCCAACGCTTCTCAAAAGCCTTTCACCAAAAATGCCCCAGCAAGGGCATGTTAATGGTCGTTGTTACCATAAGTGGGTGTTGTACCACCATGTCTTCCATGGGGGTAAGGTGAATAAAAAAAGAATGAATGGTAACAAGACAGTGCAAGGAAAGGGATAGTGAGAAGACACCTAAACTGTTTTGCCATTTAACAAGCGTCTGACTCTGTGAAAGCAGACAACTCCAGCTGGCAAAAAAGGTAACATTAATTCAGCTCTGAAGTAATTTTATTTTGTTCCTGAAAGTTGTATGTGTTGTGCTGAGAACCCATATAACATTCATCATAGGGGAGCCCAAGTTTTAAGCTGGCAGATCAGTGGAGGTGTTCAAGGGAAGAGAATAATGACTGTAGGAGTATACTCTTTCTTTAGCAGCTAATTTGAAATTTCCTGTTGTTTAATGCAATCTCTTATGTTCTAGACTGAAATCTAACTGTAGTTTTTTTAACAAACTGCCTTTTAATGTCTGCTGTCATTACTAATCCCTGAGTAGGAAGGGTCTTCATACTAATTCTATAGTAATTCATAGTAATTCTATGGTAATTAATCACTGTCTTTATAGTCATTTTAACCTTTCAAGTTTTAACAGGGAGCCTCTAGTAGTGGATCAAGCTCTGTAATATATAAGAAAAGAGCAGCTTTAGTAGTTAATAATTTTTTCCTAGAGTTCTAACATTTCTGAGGAAGAAAAAGTCAGTTGTAGGTTAAAACAAAATTTAAATGAATAAATGTAGTGATTAATATTCAAGAAAAATGAACTATCAAAAGTCATTCTATTCCCACTTCCAATTAAAAATCCCTTTCCTGAAATCAGTCTATTATTTTACATTACGCAGCTGTGAAATTGCAATTTGAATTATTTCTGGAATTAAACCTTCAGCAATGATGATATGATAAATCTTCTGCGTAGTGATTTGATTGTTCCAGAAATGGGACGAAAAATGGGTATGAGCAATATATTTAATTATGCTCTCAGAAGCAAAGCTGATGTTTTTGTGACTATACGCTGTGTGTGTAGTATGACATTTCAAATGAAATTACAGTGCCAGAAACCACAACGTTGCTTTCCTGTGCTTGGGTCTATGATAGTAGATATGGAAAATTATTCTGTGCAACAGCAGTTGTGTTTAATAATATCAGAGCTCCAGTGAGTATCCTGCAGAAGAATGGCTCATGTAGCCGCAGTATTTTGTTTAGGGGGAGTGCACAGAACCGTTTTGTTAACAGTCTTCCCTTAGCCTGGTACCTACGTTTTAGTCCAGTCCAAAGAGGTAGACAGCGTTGAATTTTCAGTTAGGCTGTGCATTAAAGTTTAAATAATATGGCTGAGATTTCAAAGCCACTTCAGTGATATCTTCTCTCCAAGTTCCATTAATGTGAATGGGAATCATATCTCCAAATCTGTTAGGCAGCTTTGATGCACTCTTTCTCAGTGCACTAGCTGCTGACACATGTTGCTGTTTTGTTAAATGAAAGTTGCTAAGCAGATTTACCTCACTGGAGGAATGGCACTTTTCTTCAGTGTCAGATTAGATCTGTACACAAGCGTCTTGTGCTATATTGGCAGTACTTCTCACAGTGTTTTACCCTCCTTCCCCCTCCCTCTGTCACTCTCTTCTCAGTAATGTTTATTTTGATTTGAAATCCATATCGAACAAGCTCTGGAAGTACAACCGGTACCGCTACATTATGACCTACCATGAGAAACCATGGCTGCCTCCACCATTCATCCTGCTGAGCCACATCGGACTTCTTATAAATCGCATCTTCCGCCATCAGCCCCCAAATGAGCTGGATCAAGAGGAAGGCGATGTTGGACTAAGTAAGCTGGGAACCAAAAGAAAAAGCTGGTGACAATTGTTTGTCAGCCTCCCATCACCTTGAAGTTGAATTCCTCAAAAAGAAAAAAAAAAAGAAAAAAAAGAAAAAATATATTCTCTGGGTAGAGGGCTGTTTTAATTTTGAAAACTGAATTTAACTTGACTCCCTGAGAATTCTTGAAGGAAAAAATGACTAAGTGACTAGGGGAATGCTTTGCTGTGCTACATACTGTGCATCAGTCAAGATACCTTACAGCTCTGAAGTAAAGTGACACGCAGCTGAAATAAAGTGAAAGCAATTTATTCTGTAGGAATTAATAGCCTTATTTTCAAAGAAATTAAACAGTAGTGAGGGTATAAATTTCTGTATGTTTGTCATGAAAAGACCAACAATTCCTTTTTCATTACCTGGAGAAAGAAGGTACAGAACTCAAGGACAAAGGAGATCAAGTGGTGGCAGATGCAGAGAGAGAGCACAGAGGATTCCCACCTTCTCACTGTTTCCCTTTCCTTTGTGCACTGGCTTATCACTGCACATTCCCAGCCTGGATGTCTTCATCCCAGCATCCTTCCTAATGCCTCTTCAAGGTGCTGTCAGTTCCCTGTCTCACTGTTGCCAGCTCTGCCAGGAGTAGCTCTAGCTGTTGAGGGGACGGGACCACAAGATGTTGGGATGGGAATGAATACTCAGTAGTGGGGCTTGGTGGTTGGGGTGAGGCAGAGAAATGGGGAGGAGGAGAGGCTGGTGGCTATAACCTTTTCTACAAAAACATTGGGGAGCACTGGTGTATAATATTATACAGCCTCATCCTTTTTGATGCAACATACACCCTTGGAACCTAATAAGAGATGTGGGGAGGATCCTGCCTGAATTATGCTTTACTTAGGATTTGCTCTGCTAAACAGTGAATCCCTGAAGAGATCTGGCATGCTCGCAGGTAGTTACAGGGTTCAAAACCAGGCTTTAATAATCAACGCTAAGCTGTTTTACTGCTGCTCTCAGGCTCACCTTCTCCATCATGACTGGATACACTAGATACGAAGTAGGCACTTTGAAGTGCCACTGATTATTTTATATGCATGAATAGCATGAATCACTGATGTAGCATAGAGAGGGTTTTGTAAGGTGCATCAGGCTAAAGAAAAACTAAAGCCCTGCTTAGCACATCTAAAAGTCCTTGGATAGAAGAGGGCTCATGACTTGCTTACACTTCTCTCAGAAGGAGAATTTTTTCCCGTTTGTATGCCTCTGTGCCCCTTTTCTATATACCTGTGCATTGCTTGGTAAGTTTCTTCTACTTTAATTTTGGTGTGGTTATAATTAACTGGTTTTCTCAATGAGGATCCAGTGCCACCCTGTGGAAAATCAGTGAAAACACCAATATGCAGAGTAAAATATTGGAGGAAAGAACACAGATAGGTTATGGGGGAAAAGAGCCTCAAAGGTGATCAAGTCCCATTGGGAGTGAAAGGGGGAACCCCAGAACACTGCTGGGGTTTTGGCTGCTGAGCTGTGTGTTGCAGCTTTTTTTTACATGCTTGTGACAAACACTGTCTTGTTACCTGATGGAGATATCCCCTTATCAAGTACAGTGAGGACTCTGGTACCTAAAATAAAGAAAGAAAAGAGGAGCTTGGAAAATGTGGAGTTTGAATCAGAGAAACAGCTTTCCACCATATGCATTTCTTTGTACTGTTTTGTAATCAATCTGTTCTCTCAGAAATCTTGGTGTGCTAGAAGAATACCATCATGAACAGCCCAAATTGTAAACTTCTGAGTGTTTTCTTCCTCCTCTAGGAATCTTGGGGAGGAAGGGGGTGGAGAGAAGATCTTAATGTTTTATACATATGGATGTTAATTAAGAATGCCTTAATGTTTTATACATATGCACATGTTAAGCATTTAGTTGGGAAAAAAGCTTTGCAGCTTTGAATACCTGGAAGGACTGCAATTGTAGGTGACTAGCCTGAAGTGAATGCCTTGACCACATTAGAGTGACATTTTTGTAAGCCTTTATATGTATATCTACATCTTGTAAGTGACACATGCATAACAAAATAAAGGAAAAAGTTTGTGAGAAAATACATCCCTGTGTGCAGCCATTCGAGTGTGTGCTTTTGAGGCTTTAAAGGGAAGTGTACTGGAATTTTTGTCAGTATGGTTATGTTCCCTGTCTAAGGAAAGATAAAAAACATAATTTCCCCTATTTGACATGTAGGGTCTTTATGCATAAGCCCAAATTCACAGAGTTAGGCCTGATTCTTTCTTTTCAAGGAAAGGAGTGTAAACAAGTTCTGACAGGTTTTTTATTTTTTTTCCTCATGGATGTTCATAAAGAATTGTAATTATCAGCATGTTTCATACTGATTCCTACCTCCTTTGTTCAGAGCTCTACCTGAGTGATGAGGAGTTAAAGAAACTTCATGACTTTGAGCAGCAGTGTGTGGAAAAATATTTTCATGAAAAGAACGAAAGCCGGAATTCCAGTGACAGTGAAAGGATCCATCTGACCACAGAAAGGTGTGTTTTGCTGAAGATTTCTGTTCTTTGTATAAATTTGTCATATAAAAAGACTTTGATAAGCTAATGCTTTTAAAACAGATTATGGGCACTGTGAACATGCATAGACCTTGCTAATTTGATGGAAATATATCTGTTGGAGGTGCATGTCGGGTCTGTCTGGGAAGCCTTGCTGGCAGAACTGCATCCCCAGATGTGTGTAGGTGGTTAAAGGGGTACAGTTAGGTGTTGCTAAGTTTCACTTTTGCAGACCAGGTAGCACTACAAAAACATGCCCAAGAACATCATATAATATATGTGTTTGTTTAAAAGGTTAGCAGTGTAATAATGCTGTGAGAGTATTGCTTGTGATTGAGTATAATTGCTGTTTACAGAAATAACCATAAAACCATTTTAGCATTATTTTCAATATAGTGTCTTGGTTTGCAAAATGCTAATACACAGCTGTCAGTAGGGCTTCAAAATTCTCAATATTGGCCTAATTTAGCATTCTATTGAAATCAATGGCAAATCTGCCACTAAATTTAAGGGGAAGAGTTTAAAAAAGGGAAAATTTTAAAAAGTCTTAGTGAATGCCAACACTCATCTCACCTAACAAATTTGTGTTGCCTAGAGAAAGATAGACTCTTAATCTTTGCCTGTTTATAATCTTACTTTCTGCAGGTTAAAACAAAACAGAAGCAGTATAAGCATCACCTGTAAAAGAAATTAAATAAACAGTTTTGCTCAAAAACTACAGAATTGATTACATCAAGAAGATTTCATTTACTGGATAAATATAGAATTGGAAAGGAATTTTTTTCTGAGTGCAGAAGTGAAATACACTTCATAGGATTACATAACATTCATGCAAGAAATTAATTTAGATGAAAAAAATGTTCTGGAATACTGATCTTTGATTTTATTCAGCAATTAGTTAATACTATATCTTTTAGTTACTCTGTGACAAGTGGAAGAAATGACTACTGCATATTGCCTGCAGCTAGTTTATCATTGGCTTAGTGGTAAAGCACCAGAGAGTATCTTCAGGAAATGTGAGAATAATTATTTGGTTAAAATGATATAATTCCAGGCCAAGAAGTTCTTGCACTTTTTACTGGAGATTTGAAGATGATAAAAAATTAGGCTTTGCTTTTTAGGAAGTTGCATTTTACCTAAAGGTAACTGATGCCATAAGGTGCAGAGAATCCGCTTCCAGAGGCCAAATAGGTTCTTGGGAAGACCTCTTTCCCAGAAGTCTCTAGCATTTGAGAAATGCAAGACTGAAAAATACATGTAGGTCTGTGTAAGTCTTGTCCTCATGCTTGCACAAGAAATGTAGAAATGCAGGATGACTAGCTGACAAGAAATATCCTTTATAGCATTTTACACTGGCAGCAATAGCTGCCTGCTGTCCATGGTTTAGTAGTTCAATGGCAATGAATGGCTATTAGTAGGAAAACAAGAGTTTTTAAAATAGATACTTTTTGAGCAAAATGTCTGTTTCCTTAGGAAACACTGGCTGTTGGCTGGGTTTTGTCAAGTATAGATATTTGACAAAAATGAAAGTCACCATTAAAAAAAAAAAACACCTGCTTGAAACACTGACTTTTTGAAATATGTTGATGGCTTCCTTCATCATCTTGCAAAAGGACGTAAAGATCTATGTTTTGGTATTTTAATTATATTTTGTTTTTCTACTTAGAGTGGAGGAGATGTTTCTACAGCTTAAAGAGGTGCATAAGAAGGTATTTTTTATCAAGGAGTCTTTACTCTCCCTGGACAGCCAGCTAGGACACTTGCAAGACTTATCTGCCTTGACAGTGGACATCCTGAAAGTCCTTTCTGCTGTAGACACCTTGCAGGTGGAAGAAGCCTTGCTGGCTGACACAAAACATCAAACGTGTAGGAAGCTGCCACATAGCTGGAGCAATGCACTCTGTTCTGAGACCTTGAGCAGCCTGAAGTGTTTGTACGACAAGAAATACCACTACTACAGCATGCCACCCTCCCTCTTACGGAGCGTGGTAAGGAGTCCGGGTCCATCAGAGTGCAAAGACCATGTACGGAGGTCTCAGAGTAACAAGGTAATAGAAGACAGCTCTCGAAAAGTAGAGATAGAAGGTGACACACCCACTTCAGGAATATCCTCTGAGACTAAGTCAACCCTTAGGTATGGACAGTTTTTGCTGGTGCCCCCTGACCATCAGGGAGGGTCTTTGTCTGAGGATGTCACCTTAAATTTCTCCTTTTTGAGCACTCCTGCCAAGTACAAGGATGAAGTGGTCAGAGATGACCTGCAAAGTAGCACTGCGATGCAGCAAAATTTGCCCAGTGTCAGCCTCATTGGAAAAGAGACAGAAGATTATCATTGGAGCCAGAAAGACTTTACTATTCATTTGCCATCAGAAAAGACTAATGCTGTAGAGTCTGATCATCCTCTGGGTCTCCAGCCACCGCTGGATATTGAAAAGAGTGCAGCATCGCCCTGCGATGATGGGGAAGAAACTGAAGGTGGTTATGTGAACTGGGGGTTCTCTGAAGGTGATGAAAAAGGCGTTTTCATCTCAGATTCAAAGAAGAAAGCCATGTACATACATTCCTCCTATGACAGGGACAATAATTGCAAGAGTAGTCCTCTCAGGCATGTCCAGTTAATAGAATCAAAGTCCTTCTCCTACAATTCTGACTGGTCACATCACAGCAGGAGCAGCATCTCTCAGAACATGCTGAAACAAAGCACCTCCTTCTGGATCAGCCCACTCCAGAGGGACTGGAGTTTCTGCAGAAGCAAGAGCTTACAGTCCCCTAAGAAAGAGAGATCAGGGAAAACCTGCAAGGCTATAGGCGGTAATTATAAAACATTACACCTGTACAGTATCTTTTACTGGAGAGTCCTAGACATTATAAAAATCTGACATTTGCACTGATAAGATATTAGCTGCAGTTGATGGTAGTAGCAGAGGTTCCAGAGTTACTCTTTCACTTTCTTTGTTGTGGGTCTGGCAGTTGTTGGGAATTTCTGAAGTGTGCCTTGTACCCAAGCTGTGATACACCTATGTGTCAGCCACCCTGATTCTCCCCTTCTCATGAGCTCTCTTTGTCTGTGGTTACACAAATGGAGTAACAGAAGGATTGTGCTCACTCTGGGGAAGTCTCTTTGCCATGGGGATGCAATGCAAGAGTTGCAGGACCCAAAATAAATTACACGATCCCATAGAGATACATTAGCATTATCGTAGGTCAGATGGGCGCACGGAGAATGAAGAGGTATACACTTTTGTACTGAGTTTAAATCCCTCCCTGCCCACCGTGAAGTTTGCTTACCAAGAACTAAAATACAGCAAATTATTGTTCTAATTATGATTAATGTGAGATGATGGATAACATTTCTTGTTTTGTATCTTGTGATGGTGCACAACTGTGCACTGAACTGCATGAGTATTAACTTTGGATGTCACAAGTCTTTCTCAGCTTGCCTTAGAGATCTGCCAGTTCTCAGTCTTACCTTAGTAAATGAAACTCTCTAACTTAAAGGTGGTTTTTTGGCTCTTTTCTGCAGAGTCTTTACGATCCAGTGAGCTACACCACAGTGAGGCAACAAAAGCAAAACAGCAAAACAGAGACAGAAAGCCTGGGAGAGGAAAGAGGAATCAAAAACTCCTTCAGGTGCCGGTATGGGCAGATGCAAGAGAATCACATATCTCAAAACTGTCTTTTTCATTCATTAAGAGCAGTTTTGCAGTGTGATTTAATTGAAAATGTATACATTTAAAATGCTGCACACGAACTGGGGTATCTCGTGTGTGTGTCTAGCTTTGCTTCAGTTTTCCTTTTATTTGAAATGTGTGGGATTTCCCTTTTGAACTTGTTGATGCTCAGGGACTTTGCTAGATAGTGTACTGGAGTGATATGGCTTTTACACAAGAATAAATCAGTCCTTGCACTTCAGTTGGCAGGAGAACTTGAGGAGGCTCCATAGGATCTAGGATAGACTGAAGAAGGGGCCATATCCCGGTGGTATACAACTGTAAACAAGGAAGCTAGGCCTCATAAGGTTATCTCCTGCCTATAAGAGTCCCACAGTCTTTTGATGGCAAATACTTTGCATGTTGCAGAAACCATATTGATTGTGTCATATGTATGGGGCAACTTTTTGTAACTGTATCTGTGTGTTCATATATAAAAATCTATTTATAGAACTATAAAGAAATTCCTAGTGTCTTTGTCAACTAAAAAGAGTTATCACTGTTTAATGAGATGAATGCTGAAGACTGTTTTGTTTACAGAAGATGCTCTGGTCAGCAAATACTCAAACTTTGAGATCAAATACCTCCGAATGGATTAGGTCTTGAAGTTCAAATATGTTTAAATAGTGTGAGATCTTTCATGAGTTGTATTTACTAGACAAATGCTACATGTCTTCTGCAACTTGTAACAAAAAATTGGAAAACCTGTTTCTCGGTTGGTAGTATGTTCATCATTGGCATTTCAGTGATGCTCTGAAAGGCCACACCATAGGCTATCAGAGGAACTGCAGAGATGCTAGTTATCCTGTAAATTGAGTATTGTTTTGTCACTGTATTGCCAGGTGATTAGAGTGGATGATTGTCCCCAGAACACTCAAGTGATCTCAGAGCCCGCAGAGATCAATGTCTGGGATGAGCAAGAGAAACACAGCAAGAATTGGCTCACCGTGTCTAATTTCAGTCAGCTAAGTATGTGACATTTTGCAAACAGTGAATTTCAGAACAGTTTTTAAAAAGAGGCAGTAAATATAAATCATGAATTCAAGTGTCATTCACCATTTTCACCTCATGGCATAATTTCCACAAAATTAGACTTCGGTTGCAAGCACACATGGCTTGGTTATTTGCTGCATCATTGAAGAGAGATATAGGTTGGATGGAAGGTCAGTTGAATCTTTTTGGGAGCACTGCCTCTCTTGCGTGGAAGACAATAGAGTGCTGATCTCAGGAATAAGTGGGAAGAAGGAGGGTGGTGTCTTTGTCTCCTCTCCTGAAGTATCTTTTAAAGTGGCATCCTGGCTAGTTGCAAAAATAAACTCATGATTTTCCAGGACATTTACACTCACAGGCAGTGCTGTGATGCTGTATTTTCTGGCAGATCCCCTACTTGCATTATTCATTTCTCATTGCTCAGAAAGACATCCTCCAAATGGAAGATATGAATTTTGTGTTGTCTTTTTGAAATGAAAAGGAATGACTTCCTTACTCTTCTTTTAGTAATTCTCCATCTCTTTCATTCTCAGAAGTCCTTTGTATAGTTCATCTTATCGTTCAGCTTTGCTGTGATGTGTCTCACTGGTTTCATCCTGAGAGCTGCTGGGAGAAGTATTGGGGAATGGTGTGACTCAGTACCTCATGATCTGAGGAGGGCTGCACTCCTCCCAAATCTGCTGACAAAGAATGGAAATAGTCTGTTTTATCCCTATGAAATTCTGTTATTGTTTTTATAAAATATGGGTTTGCTTGGACAATGTGGTATATACATGTTCATTTTATAGCACTGCATAGGTATTTAGTTTATAATGATAGAGCTGTTCATTACACTCTAGAAAGAGCTGACGTTCTCTTTTGGCTAGGTCTGGAACGTCTCAGTTTCACGCACCGGAAAATGAAAAATCAAGACATCGGTAGGCATACCATACCATTCTGTGATTACCTGGGGCATTCTCGAGAGGTAAGACCTACAATTACACATCCTAGTCCATAATTCTGGCTGGGATGAGCCTAGGGTAGCTCTACTGTTGTTGCCAGATTTGCCACTACAGGTTCTTTGTCATGACATACCTCTTTGAGAGATGAGGAACTTTGTTGTCTGCTGGCTCAGTCTATGTGTGCGAGTAAATGATTAATTTAACATCTATTAACACTCTACTAAGATTATCAAAGTAAGATATTAAATTATTGAGTCACAGAGTTGTTCTGAATATGAAGTTAGTCAGAAATGGCATGTGTGTTGATGTTTCATTAGGCAACGCCTGAGCAGACAGCTTAGTCTTGAACCTGTGGGCAGAATGGCTCAGAAGCAAATTTTGGAAAGTTAGCTACATAGTGTTCACTCTATCACATAGAGATAGTTATTTCTTGCAAAACAGTAGTTAAATATTGATAAGAATTGCAAAGTGTAGATTTCTTAACCATTGGCTTATTAAAACATATTTTGTGATTTAACAGAATTAATTTTCAGCTCCTTAATCTAAAGGTCCTCAGCCTGTGGAAACCAATGTGATGGAGCTAGACCAATTTGTATTTTACAAGTATAAAAGGAAATAAAGAATAAGTTAAGAAAAGGAAATGTGAAAGTATCCTTTCCTCTTCATTTTCAACAGTATGAAAGTACCCTTCCTTGTCTGTTTTACTTCTGGCATGATTATTAAAATGGTGATCTTTCAAAGCTTAGCTTATTTTTCACTGTAAATGTTATTATTTGCCTTTGTTTGTTTGTTTGTTTGTTTGTTTGTTTTTAAGAATAAAGATAAACCAGATAATTTCAGATATGCCAGTGTTGTAGAATTTGAATCCCAAATACCAGGAAAGAGAGCTTGAATGTCAGTTTTAAAAATGGTGGGGTTTTCTATGAAAAAATGAAAGAAAAAGAGAGAAATAGAAATAAATTTACTGATTTTGTATTCTGTAAGACCCAAGCTTGGAGTATAAATCAATAAATCTTTGAAATGTTGAACACAAGATCAGACAAGCAAAATAAAGTCAGGAAAACTGTGTGAAAGAACCGAGTCATCTGGTGCTTCAAAACTCATATGAAGATATTCTTGGGTAAAACTCAAGAGTAGGATTTTTAAAATTCTCAAAAAAATCCAATAATTAATAGCAGTATTGGAGTTATGCTGAAACCAGTCACTTTCAGAACATTGACTTCAGATTATTTATTCTTCCAAGATACAGTCTTCAATACCCACTGAATTATTTATCACTGAGATGTAATAAAATTGCTGCATCCAACTGTTCCACTTGTAGTATGATATATTTTAAAGAAATTTCTCTTCCTGAAGTGGCACTTCTCAGATTTATCCACTGCATACTAGTAGTTTAGGAATCCCTATTGGTAGGTAGCAGGGAGCAAAGCAAGGGTGTGTGTAGGAAGGTTTTTAAAAGATTTTTGCATCTGCAGATCAAGCTATAAGGTCAAAATATGAGAGAAATAAAAAAAAAGTTAAGTTTCAGATTAAATTAGAAGCTGAATTTTAGTTGATTTATCTTTAAACTTAGCTGTCTCTGAACATTTTTTGGAGGGGCCTTTTTCATTTGAGAATTGAAATCTGCCTGACTACTACTCAGAAGAAAAATTCTATTTCTGACTAGCACATTAGGAGGACCTAGCTGACCCGTTTTTATCTAATATTGCTGGAAGTTTAAAAGACTACTTCAGTATTTCTTTAAACAAAAGACCTGTAAAATATGTGATCTAAATATCACTGGAAAGCTGCTCAGTGTGTCACCTTCTTCTGTTATAAAGGTTTAGAGTGAATTTTATTTTCAACAATTGTAAAGCCTATCCCTAAACTGGAATTTTCCAACATAAAGTTAGTTCTCTTATACTGTCCCTTTTAGAACATCTTTAACAAGCTTTGTGAGTGTATTGAGATATGGGTGGGTACCTGAGCATTTCATTCAAATGTGTGGAGGCAACACGGAACACTGCGATGTGAGCTAATTAGTTTCATTTTAGTGTAGGTTTGGCAATACTGTGATTCACCTGCCTATCGGTGTCATTATTTATGTTAACAATAAGCATATCAATAACTCTTTTTAAGACTGTATCTTTTTGAGCTGTGCAGTGTGCATATTATAGGGATGTGCATATTTTACCAGTAAAAGTATCTCTCTTTTTTAGGGTTTGAGTAATAGAGTATTTGGAAATATGAAGAAAAGTAATCTGAACAGGAACTCCTCGTATGTATTATTAGCGTGTTAAGATACCCTTCGCATGTTTTCAGAAAGAGATATCTAATACTGTCTGCAGATTTCTACTTCAGTTTTGTTTCTGATACTTCATATGAGAAACTTATGTGAAATGAAGAGTTAAGGCAATTCAGTTTTTTAAGATGCTTAGGGGAAACCTTGTTACTGGGGAAAAGGAGATCCGTTTAAACAAAGTGTATGATATTGGGTGGAATACACACCCGTTCCAATGCTAATAATAATCCAATTTTCTATGTCAGTCACTTAGATGACAGTCAGACTTCATGATCTTAAAGGCCTTTTCCACCCTTAACAATTCTGTGATTCTGTGGTTTTACGACCACCTTTAACTGACCATTTTTCCAATCTAGTGAGCATGAAAAGTTGCATTTGCTTTTGCTATGCAAATTGTTTGTTTCTTTTTTTAATAATTAAAATACTAGCAGCTCTTGAAAGCTTCTCTCACTCTCTGATTAATGTCTTTTGTGCTGAGTTGCATAAAATATGAAATACTTACCTTAGTTTTCTTCAAGCATTTTCAAAAGTTGTTAAGCTTTGATTATATTTGGTGAAAGTATACTGGTTTCACAAGTGGTTTCCAGCCCCCCCCCCCGCTTGATTAATCATTACCTTAGTATTAGGAGTATTTTTACCACATGCAGTGCTGTCTGTATGTTCCCTTTCCTTTTCTTTCTTATTTTCATCAATTTCTTTTAGATTGCTCTTATTTTTTAGCACTGTGGATGTAATAAATAAAAGACACTAGAAAGCCGTCACATCCTGTGTGATTTCACCATGGGGAGAGGAGGAAAAAGGTTACTGTGGGGTTTTTTTTTGGTTTTTATGCATACTGGTGTGTGTGTGAGAGGGTTGGGTGAAGTTTTTTTGTTATTTTGGGTGGGTTTGAGTGGTTTTCCTTTTCTTTCTCTTTTTTTCTTTTTTTCCTTTACTCCGACTCATTTATAGGTGGTAAGTAAACCACATATGTACCAGCAGGACATACAGGCTCTTGAGTGGCCTGATTCTGTCACTTAGTCAGTTGTCCTCAGTTAGGATTCTTTGGTCTGTGTTAATCCAAAAGCCCATCAATTTAAAAAGTATGTTTTTATACATACAGAAGTGGTGGTAATGACACATTAATATTCACATTGATTGAAAAATGAACTATTGTGTATGTGATTGAAGGGCCTGTAACTGATACTGTTATTGCAGTGTAAAGGATACGAACAGCAGTGCAGAATCCAGAGCAGCTCAACATAAAGCAGAGAAAGAAACACGCAGAAAAATGTGTCACATCTTCAATACCTGAAAGTGGTTTGCTGATTGCTGTGTTGAACAAAGTTGCACTGAGGGTTATTTTGTTTTGTGATTGCTGATCAAACCTTTGTGAGTTTAGCCTTCACACAGATCACATCTCTTTATATGCGATCTATGTGTACCAGTATTAGCTTAATGACGGAAATTTCAGATTAAAATATCAAGTATTTGTTTTTAAACAGGTTGAGAGCTTCAGAGGAAACTGACAGTAAGTTTTTCATTGCTTGTCACTCATTTTAATTCCCATTTGCAAATCTCACTCTGACAATTCTGAAGTACAAAATCCAAAAAGGAAGTTAATTTACTAGTTGAGGGTTATAGGAAAATATGCAGATATTGTTTCATTATTTCATGAAACAATACAAACAATTAAAAACTTTAAGTTGTACTTTAAGGGGTTTTTTTTTATGAGGACATGTTTTTCTCATAATAACTGCCTAATCTTAAATGGAAAAATCTATTTTTATTCTAGTCTGCCCAGTAATTTCAGCAGGAAAAAGATCTTTAAGGTGATGGTTCTGCTTTCATCCCTTACAGTATAAGAGACCTCCTGAGTTAAACAGGGTGTTAGTCCGAAGACAGATTGTGATATAAAATTTTAATGTATGTTCGATTTTTCAAGTTGCAGTTTTGTGTAATTCCTCCGTTTGCGTTGTTTACCTGAAATTATGACAACAGTGAAGGATTGAATTTATTTTGAAATGTCCAATGAAGAAATTCAAGGTTTTAGTGAGGAAATACTTTGTTCCTCAAAAGTAGAGTATTAACTTCACTTGTATTTGTTGCATTTTAGTCTTATCTTCCAGTTTTCCTGACATGACTCTTATCTGTAAGAGGCTGAGCATCTGGTCATCTATCTCTTTTTGAGGCTAGATGTGATGCAGAAATGAGTAGCCCTTAGTCTTATCTCTCCTTCAAGTGCTGCTCTTTCAGGGTTCATCTCTGCACAAAGCACTTCCATGCCAAAGCATGCTGCAGCAAGCAGAGTTGTTGGATCCAGCAAGAAAGAAAGCACAAGGAACTTCGAATCACTAAGGGCAGTGAAAGTGCTAGGCCTTCCCCCAACATCTGTTGATACTTCTGTATAGGATCTCTTGCTAGATAAGGAAGTATAAGCAAATAGAATACACCAAGAAGAAAAGTGTTAAATTCAAAAATCTGATGAACATTGTTTTGATTATCTTATTTTTTCAGAATTAACAGTAGTACAGTATATATAATTCTAAAATCTGGCATTTTGAAGAACTGTTTTCTAACCGAACAAAATTATTTCATCCACCTAATGGGAACATGCTCATTAATGTTGGCTGTATTAAAAACATCTTTCTGTAAAACCAAGATTTTTGGACCAAATTTGGTCTGGTTGAGCCTGTTAAATATGTCACCACATAAATTGTTTGCCTGCTTATATTTTAACAGCATGTTAGATGCTGCAGGTTAATGGGACAGTATTATTATAACTTTGGTTCAGTAGTATAGTTAATGGAATGCTTAATGGCTTAGAAAAATCATACCTTTGGGAGACCAAGAAGCATGGTGGACAGCAAAGTTCTTTTGTTATCCCAGAGATGTAATTGGCTTAACATGTCCTTGAGACAAATAACACAGTTTTCCCACCATTTTCCTGAAGAAATAAGTCATCTGTCTATATTACACTGATAACTGAAATCTGCCAATATACAGTACATTACAATGTACTTAAAGCCAATTAGTAATTCTCCTCTTTGGAATCCTGAGACGGTAATTCTGATCAATCTGTTTCATGACAAACTCTAAGATGGAAGGAATTAAAAAATCATACATTTATGTCTTTTATAATAATTAATGTAATGATCCTTTAAAAATTATTTCAGATATCTTTGCCTGCTTGAAAACATCTCAAGATTTGCATCATCACTACTCAGGTAAGGAGGAGTGACGGCACTGTGGGCACAGACCCTGACGCCTGGGCTGGCAGACACCTGAATCAGCTTTATTGAAAAAAAACACATCTGATATATGTATGGGGTTTGAAAAGTAACAAACGATGTTTAACCAATTACATACAACCATTCCATGGAGCGTGTGCAACAGAGTATAAGGAACTACATTTCCCAGAACGCTCCTCAGCATTTTTCCTGTAATACAATCTGCCACAGCAGAGGCACCAGAATAATAGCTGAGAAATTTAAGCAATTAAAAAGAACATTAGTCCTCCCCTTGTCATCTGTGATTTTCATTTTGAAGAGTTGTACAATTGACCACTGCTAAGAAGGTTCTCTGTTAATTCGTGCCTAACACTTGAGTGAGAGCATTATTAATTATTTTCTTGCTAATAATTTCTCTGTTCTGGGTAGATATGGCAAATCCAGAGCAGGCTGTAGATAATCACTTTCAAAATATCATTTGAAACAATGAATGCACATCCAGTTCCTGAGGGGGCAGAAGAGGTGCTAATTTGTTGATAGCTGTCACCTCCCCTCACACCTCCCACACTCTCCTTTGTACTCTAGAATTCTTTTCTTCAGTAAATCCGTGCTGTACTACTTCATCTGTGTTTTTTACCTATGAACTCCTGAAAATCTGACAGGGAATAGATAATTTGAATGCTGATTTCCTGCAGTCCTGTCTTTTTCTGAGCTGAGTGTACACAGATTATCCCATGAGGCATGGATTTCGGTTTTTCTCAGAGGAGAGATTGCCAGTAGATTGCCCACAGGACTTGGCCTCTTTTACAGGCAAGGCTGAGGTAAACCAGAAGTAATAGCAGCCTCCTTAAATTCAAAATCTACATTGTTTTCACTGGGAATAACACCTCCTGGATTTTAATGAATTATACAGGAGTAATTTGTCTGACATGTTGGCGTTGTTGTGGTGATTAATTTGTCCCTCATTAGGCTTACTATTTGAGATGAGGTAGGATTTTTTTAGCACAGATGAAAGTGGTTTCCACTATGAGTTGTCAAATATCTTAAGAGGTTGCAGTGTGGTTTTCTTTTCTCAGGAAGACCTGAATGGAATTTAGCCAACTAGGCCCAAAAATTGGACACTAAAATCCTATACCATATATTGCTTATGCATTATTTTTCTATCATGCTGAGCAAGCAAATAAAATCCTGCCTCTCTGCACATCCAAAAGAATTAGATTTTTGTCCCAGATTCAGCAGCTGGTGCAAGTCCATGTTGTATGACATCTCAAGGTTGTAGAGTGACTGCTGGCAGGGTCTTACAGATGGCACAGGTTTGGCAGCTGCTCTGTTCACAACCTTGTCCCTGCTATGCACTAATTTCATGATCAGAGCATGCTCCTAGTCATCATCAAAGGAAGATCATAATTTTCAGTCCATGCTCCAAGACTAGTCCAAAGTGTAGATTTTCTCAGATGAGGACCCTAATTCATGGGTTGATGAGTCATGAGTCCCCTTTGCTCTACCCTACTGGACTCAGTAATCTCTAATTAAATTCTGCATGGAGAAGTAATCTTAAAAGAAGGATAGACAATGTACAAGCTGTGTAAGACTGCCACCATGGCTTTTTCGGTTACTCTGCAGAGAAACACAGCTCTGCTGTGGTTCATTCTTTTTGCCTAAAATCAGCTCTTAAAAGAAGCCTCTAATACTCAACTTGTGAGTTTTAGCAGGCAGGTATTCTTTTATTACAATATACTGGATGATTGAAGCATGCCAGGTGCACTGGTAATCACTTCACCAAAGTGCACACGGAGGTATCTTCACTACAGCATTACAAGATTATTTGTTTTTTTGCTCCCTGTGTTCTTGTTACATATTCATGAAATTTCCCAACACTTATTGAGGGTCTCCGGTGGTCTTCTCTGTCTGGAGCCCCTGAAGTTCTAGGTGACCACCTTATGAACTTCTTCAGGACAATTCACTTGGTTGTAGAGTAACTTGGTGTTGCTTGGCTGACTGCCTCCATTCCCTTCTTCATTGTTTTTTCACTTTGCTTGGTTAGTTCATTTAAATCACTTGGCTTAGCTATATGTAGTTCCCATGGTACATTCTGTTGCAAATACTATTAGTTCTTGTTACATCTGTAAACCCTGAAATCGCTCTCTGCTTTGGATGCTAGTTTTGCTTTCAACCATTGAATAGGCAAATTAGATAGAACTGTAGCATCTGAGTTGCCTCGTAGTTCTACCCTCTTACCCTTTTTGTGGCTGACTTTACACCTCTCTCCCCTTTCCTGATAACTCAGTTATTGTGAGGACTGTATTTAGTTGACTCTGAAATTTTGAAGGTAATGTTTTGAAGCCTGAGTAATAAGCTGCAGATAGGGAGATATAATAATGTTACTGATGTTGCTTGACAAGAAGCCCAGATGAAGAAACGGTGCTCTGTGCAAGGGACGCTTGGATTTTCCTGTCAGGCCTTTCTAAATCTCCAGGTGTTTTTGAGCCTGATGAGACAGGCAGTTAAGGCTGTTGAGGCCAGTGCATCTCACTGGCACAGTGTCAATATTACTGCATGGAAATTGGCAGGAGCAGAAAGCAGCAGCAGCCCTTGGTGAAAGGAGGAACATAAGGAGGTAGCAGAAGCAGTCCTTGTAGCAGGGTGCAAGGGGCTCTCCCAGAGAGCCTGTTTCTTTGGAAGGAAGGAATTCATGAATGGTGAAAAGAGCAGCAGCTGATGCTTGTGAGTTACCATGGGTGTGTGTCCTGGTTCTGGCCAGGACAGGGCTAATTTTGGCAGTATCTAAGAGGGCATGGCTAGGACCCAGAGGTTATTCTATACTACCTCATGTCATTTTCCAGGGACAGGGGAATGGGTCCCTTCTGGGTCAGGGTAACATGGCTGAGGTTCGTGTATTGCCGGTTTCCATGTGGTGAGCATTCGCGTGTGAATCATTTGCCTGTCTTGTACCCTCTGTTATTAATAGTGTTGCTCGTTTTCTTATCTGCTCATTTTCTTATCTCATTGCTGTTTCCAGTAAATTGTTCTTATCTCAACCCATGATCTCTACTTTTTGTACCTTCAATTCTTCTCTCCATCCCACTGCAGAAGTGAGAGGAATAGGGAGGGGGCAGTGAGGGAGCAGCGCATCGTTTGGAGCGTTTCAGTGGGAACACTAAGTTGGGGAATACAGTTCCTAAACCATGACAGTGTGCAAAGGGGAGTTGCTGGCTCGGTAGAGTGAATAGTGATCAGATCTGACACAGGATCACACTGGTTTTGTACACTATAGTAAAGTGCCGCCAGGTGTTTTTGAAGTTCAGCCAGCCTGTTTATTCAATATAGCAGTGAAATCTATGTTGTTTGCAGCTGTTGAAAGAAACAACTTAATGAGACTTGCTCAGACTATACCATTTACACCAGTCCAGCTCTTTGGTGAGTACTAATTTCCTGGTTATGTTTTTTTGCTTTATAAATAGTTAGTGCATTATCTTTTTAAAGACTCTGTTTGAGAAATTGTCTTGGACTAATTTCAGCAATTCTTCTTTTTGAAAGACATGAAACAGATAAAATTTTAGTCATGCACTAATCCGGGGACTTCGAAGGTTGTCTTGTCCATCTCCCTCTGTGTTCCATTCAGATCAGGTTGCTGACACCCTATACAATTACATTTTGAATATATCTATAAATGCAAATTCCTCAGTTTTGTTGGGCAACCTCTTCCAGATTTTGACTGACATAGCTGTGAATCTAGTAGTTTTTCTGGAATTTGTTGAGGTTTCCCTTGCTATAGCTTGTGTCTGTTGGCATTCATGTGATTGCTGTCAACCTCAGAGATTACTCTAACTCCATCTTCTATATATCTATTAGGATAGCTGAAGACAACAAAAAGTTTCCCCTTATCCTTGATAACTTCATTCTCTCTGTTCGTCTTCCACATACAGACACAGATGTAAATAGATGTATAGGATACACCAACAAGAAGAAAACCAGATATTGCTTTAAAGGGCACTATTCCATAAACTATTGGGAAGAGATCTGAAGTTAGCATGTAATATTGACTTATAGCAGCAGTAGCTCTGCCTGTAGATGCTTGAGATCTAGGTGCCAGCTTCTCAATAGGTAGAATATTTTGTCTCACAGCAACAAATTGCTGCTACTTGCAGCATCATAGGATTTCTTGAGACCAGATTGCTGCAGATAATTAATATAGCTATGAGCATATTGAACATTCTAATCTTTGAAGCTCCCAGGAGATACTTTTGTAGGTATTAAACTATCAAAAGGTAATAAAATGAAGATTTAATGTACGATTAAAAAAATGTTTCTAGTTCCTGTATCTTTATACACGTGTCCATCTTTTACGTAAGACACTGTTCCAGTTGCTTTATTTTAAATTAAAATGTGTGTAAATTGCAGCATTCAACAGCATCTACATTTATGCTTATTGGTGCAGGTAAATTTGAGAGTGGGAAGGAAATCTACTAATCTGAATCCAGTTTATCGTTGCTTATGCAATTCTTTGCCATTTTGCAGATGTAGTTACCTTGTCACACTTGCCAATGAAAACCTGTTTCTTATGAATTAACAGTGCAAATAAAGTGAGTTGCAAGAAGGAAAAACAGATTTAAAAGATCACTCTACTTTTCAGGTTTCAGTTAAATGGTGGCAATAGAAAGGTGTCTTGATTTTGTTGCAGAGAGGAATGATACTATAACTATAGAGGGAAACAGAATATAAATGAGTTTAAGCTCACTAGTTTCCGCTTTCAGAAAAAACGTTACTAGCAGGAGCAGAACATCTGAAACATTTGTGCATCGCAAATAACATTGGAATTTCTAGAAAAAAAAATCTAATCTCAGTTTAAGATACTGAACCTGTAAGCTTCCTGTTAATTTGCTTGAGCTTGTTCTAGTGGGAATGTCCTTTTGAATCTAATTTTACTGGCTCATTGTGGCCAAGTCATCACTTTTGAAACAACTCAGCTGTCTCTCTGCACCAAAAGGTGGCACTATTGACTACAGTCTATTTTGTATCAACTACAAAATTAAAGGCCTTGAATGGTATAATCAATAACTATTACATGCTCTGTGTGTTTGCTTGATATGATTTTTTCATAGATTTATTTTTAGCTATTATTTTAAAATATTATTTTAACTATTATTTTTAAACTAAGATTTTAATTTTTTTTCTTACAAATTCCAGTGTTATTTGCAATGTTTCAAATTTTCTGCTCCTGATGGTTTGTTTGGGTGTTTGTTGATTTTTGAGGTTTACTTTGTGAAACACAGTAAAAAAAAATACCGTGTGTGTTCCATGGATCATGATTAACTTAAAACAAGTGTTACTAAAAATTCCCCTTCCACAAAAGTGAAGGAGCTCCACTCAGTATATTTAGATTTCATACACTGGAGATAAAAATGGTAACCATTTAAAAATATTTGCTTTTAAATTACTACTATAGACTAGAATATGTGAGCTTTGTTTCTGTGGAAGTATTCAGAAGGTCTTAAATCCATCTCTGTTTAGAGGTGGATACAAGCTCTTTGGACCAATTATTATTATAGTAGAAGAATGTATGTACTAAATCGTGTAAGTTTAGGCTGGAGAAGTTTTCAGACAGATGAACAGTTATGATAAAAAGGCTTTCTTCTAAAAAAGTGTGGCTTACAAAGGTGTGTAAAGTGGTATGTATACTTACTTAAAGACTTCAAATCAAAATGCAGTTCTCTCCTGTTTCTGCAATATGTCTTTTGCTGACAAAACTTCTTTTTATTTAAGCTGGAGAGGAAGTGACAGTCTATCAGCTAGAAGAAAGTTCACCTATGAACCTTGATAAAAGCATGTCTTCCTGGTCCCAGCGTGGTATGGCTGCAATGATCCAAGTCTTGTCACGGGAGGAGATGGATGGGGGTCTGCGGAGGGCCATGAAGGTCATTTGTACTTGGTCTGAGAATGATGTATTAAAGTTGGGACAAGTATTTATTGTGAAGTCTTTTCTGCCAGAGGTGGTTCAAACTTGGCAAAAGATCTTTCATGATGGCACAGTGTTACATCTCTGCCTGAGGGTGAGTTCAGAACCGAAGACACTGACTGGTCTAGCCTGATGTTATATTGCTTACATGTTAATTGTCTTCAGCATGGCTGACATGTGGTTTGATGTTATTTTTCATAAAGAAAAAAAGTTTTAAGGAAGATATATCTCCCATGTGTAAGCAATATTAATCAGTGTGTGTTTATGTTTCTCTGTTTGTTTTGACAGATTCATGACACCTTTCTTCATGAAAATGAAATTGGTATTTATAACATTTTTTTTTTTCAGGAGATCCAACAGCAAAGGGCTGCCCAGAAGTTAATCTATACCTTCAACCAAGTGAAGCCTCATAGTATTCCCTATACTCCAAGGTAAATTCAGTGTCTTTAAGTATTAGATGCCAAAGGTTTCTCTTTTCAGCTGTGTCCCAGGTCTGATTCAGTCTCCTTTTCCATAGAGGGTTGCAATGATAATTGCAATGATAATGATAATGTCTAATGATAGCTAATAAACTTTTAAGAGGAAAGTTAGGCAACTTGGAAGTTTGTATTTGTAGCTGCATGTGGTAGCAAAATAAGCATACTGCTCCTTAAGCAAGAATTGCCTTTTGTGCAATTAATATAAAACAATTTGGCATAGCTCATTTTCAGTGGGCTGGAGTAAATCAGATTATATTGTTTGTTCATAAACTATACTTTTCTGATTGGGTGCTTTGTTTTGAGAGTTATCAGACCAAGAGAGCCTTTTTTCTCTCTACCATTTTGTACCTCCTGCTGTTCAAAATACTCCTGCTAGGGAAGACATTTTGGTATATTTGCACTGCAGCATGACTTTTGCTGGCTGTGAGGATGCTCATTACCTTACCAGCTCTTGATAGATGGTATTTATATCTACAGGTTCCTGGAAGTTTTCCTGATCTACCGCCATTCAGTGAACCAGTGGCTGACCATCGAGAAGTACATGACTGGTGAATTTCGGAAATACAACAACAACAATGGAGATGAGATTACTCCCAGCAGCTTGCTGGAAGAGTTGATGCTGGCCTTCTCTCACTGGACCTATGTGTACACCTGTGGGGAGCTCCTTGTCCTGGATTTGCAAGGTGACTGCTAGCATGTGATCGCTGTTTGAAACCAAATGAAAAGCAATTATCTCGAAAGAGAATTTAGTACTGAGGAGTGGGCCAAACTCTCAATTACATGAGAAAACACGAAGCTGAAGAAAACCCTGAATATCTGTTTGATGCTGGTAAATGAGAATCTGTGGAAACAGTCTATATTAGTGTAGATGTAATAGGAAAATAATTTTGCTTCAGATGCCTCTAGGCTGAATGTGCAAAAGAGCAGTTAGATAAACTGTATAGAAACACTTCAGCCAGCTCCAGAAAAACTGCTCCACATATTACAATGCATAAAAATGCATTTAAAGTATTTTCAGTTTTCATAAGACATAAAAATTATAGAGATTCAAGTGTACCCATATGTATATGCACGCTTAATATATAGGTATATCTGTCAAAAGAGTGTGAACTGCTATCTGCAGTTCTATTCTTTTTATTGTTCATATTAATAAATCTGTAAGCAGTTTACATAAACTGTAAGCCTGAATGCTATTCACAAAGTCTGATGACTCCTTCAAAGAGCATGGGATCACTTTACTATACATATGTAAGTGGGAAGATGGCATATCTTGAGGAGATAAACAGTTGACAATGTTCAGAAGACAAACATCACCCATCAAACCATATAAACACTATTTGTCGTTTCTGTCAAGGGAAATGTGTATGGGTAGTCAAAGACTTAGCATATTTACATTTTACAGCATCCACTAGCTGTGAATTACAAAAAGACATACTTATTAAGCAATTCAGCAAACCTATAATTCCATCCTTACCTTTAGTCGTTTTAGCTGCACATGAAAAAAAGGTACAGAGAGAATAAGTGTGTCTTCACTGTAGCTTACAAGAATTTGCCTGAAGTCTGCTTCGGCTTCTTATACAACTCTTGACAGTTCCAGACAAATTGTGTTGGCTCAAAACTGAAGAATTTAAACATCCATGTAAATCTCAGTTTTCATCTCAAACTAACTGAAATCAAATCTAGTTTGGGCCTTATGTTTATGTTTAATTCTCTAATCTGGAGCTAAGGAAAAGTGCAAGGGCTACTCCCTTGAAGTTCTAGAAGGATGAATTTATATCACAATTTATTATATAATATCAGGGCCATCTCCACATACATATATATAGACTGCATTTTCCTAATTTACATTAATTGAAATGGCCTTCATTGCAATTTGGGGGCATTTCAGTCACATTATGCTATTACTGAAATCTTTACCTTTTTTTTTCAGAATATAAATTTATTATATTTAAATAAAGATAATTGCATATTGTGTGGTCATATGATCATAGATTTTTCCTTACTGTAAAAACATAATGATTTCTTCAGATATAAAAAAAAATATTTTTCGTAAATGGTAGTATGTCAATAGTTTAGGGAAAAGTGCAACGTAGATATCACATTCAGGCATCATAATGACATTTTTTTTAATATGGCCACCCAGATGAAAAGAGGGATAACAGACCCAAACATCTGTGCATCATGAAGTTGTGGCTTTTTGTGTTTGTTACCTTGAAGAGAATGTGTCTCTGAGAGTAGATCTGTTGATATCTGCAAGATCCATATCTGATGATCCTTTATGCCAACTAAAATAACAGTGTTTTGTTGGTCACATTTTGCTTAGTTCGTTGAGCTTCAATATAACATTTACTGTATTTGCATACACCTTCCATCTACATATAAATAAACATCAAAGCAGCTGAAGTCAAGACTGTAATAGGAACTATACATGCTTGCCAATACTTAATGGATTTTTATATTCATAGCATTTTCTTTTTAGCTCATGACCACTTTGACAACTTATGATCTACTGAAAATGGCTAATTACATTTTTGTTAAGTGCCAGATCATGAAATCATTACTATCTTCCTTTGTAACACACAAACACTATTGATTTGTTGTAGGTGTTGGGGAAAACCTTACAGATCCGTCTGTGATTAAACCCGAAGACAAAAAGTAGGTTTCTTTCTGATGAAATTATCATGCAGTTTAGACATAATGCCAATATTCTGTATATTTAGTATGTTTTTTTTACGTTTTGTGTGTGGGATTTAATTATTTTTCCATGGTGTTTGAATTAAATAAAAGTATGATGCCAATGGAAAGACTATATCTTCTCCTGTGCTTTGGCGGACTGTAAGTGTTCCATTTCTCAGCATGTGGTGACAGGCGTATGAAGGTGAGGAGAGTCTGTGTTGCTGTGCTGGGAGCGTAAGATTTTTCAAGGGCTATACAGGGAAAGCAGGAATGGGAGATGGACGACCTAAACAAGAGATGTACATCTCTTCACAAATTTGTACCAAAGGAGGTAATAAGTAACTTGAATGTGGCAGTCTAGTTTCCCCTGCCTGGTGAGGCACTGTTTCATGGAGTATATGGGACCACAAGGCCTTAAGAGGATAAGGAGAAGGCCTCTTGCAACACTTAAGGCCTTAGTGTTGCATTTAAGCATGCAGTGTGTTACACTTTCAGAGCTGTGATATGGAGATGTGGAAACTTACAAAAATTAGAGAGACTACATACATGGAAGGAGCAGCCTGCCTTCATGAATCAAATTTCAGGATCAGAACTATGGCCATTCTCCCATTCTGTGACCTTGCTCTGCAATGGTATTTCCTGTAGTGAGAGCAGAAGCACTGGTGTTGATGGCTGCTCTGCTACAGGCTACCCTTCCTAAACCCACATGTCTCTCCAGATGTTCCCTGACATCTCTACTCCTCCTCTCTCTGGTGCTAATCTTGGCTCCCTCTTACTCAGCTCATGTCATCTGATTGAAGGGAAGGAAAGAAGGAGGGAGGGAGGGAGGGAGGGAGGGAGGGAGGGAGTTCAAGTAGATTTTTTTAATATTGGTGGTAGCATAAACTGTAATAGTTATTGCTGAAAACAGTGGCCAGGCATTGAGCACAGTACTTCACGTGGCAACTCATCCTCTTTAAAACAGGGATAATATTTATCTACATTATTTCGAAGCTTATGCTTATTAGTGTCCTTCTGGATTTTTTTTGTTATTAAACAATTTTGTCATGATTAATAAAACTTGATCATACAGATCTTATTTTTAGTTTTTTTTTTTTATCATCTGCAAAATAGTTAGTCCTAGTTAGAGAGCAAACGTTGATTAATTAAGCAAAACTAGCTTGATTTTCTTATATTCAGGGAAATCTTCAGAACAGCAAGTAATGAAGAAACACTTTCTAAAACAGTAGTATCAATGTAAATGTAAATGTAAATGTAAAAGCTCTGTCTTTGCATTAACCTTCATTTTCTCACAGGAGAAACATTTCTGACAGAGGCAAGATGTGGTTTAAGTTTTCATTTGTAAATAAGATACTTAATAACTAACCCTAACCTGTACACTGCCTCAACAGTTCATGTTCAACATGAGCTCATGTTCTTCTAGAAGACTGGGAGAAAACTGGTGGCATTTCACTGGTGGGGCTGATTCAAATTTTAGCATAACTTAGAGTTAAATTATCTTTTGGTTCTTTGACTCCCATTGATTTAATGGCTCATGTCATTGTCGTGTCATGTAAGTCTTTTTAGTTATGCATTCTGCATTCTGTCTTGAAATGGCAAAGGCATTTGCAATGGCAAAGTGTGACCCGTATCTCTGTGACAGTGCATTGTGTCTTGGTTTTATATACAATATCAAGAGAAATATAATACATCTGTTTGGAAAGTATGCCTGATGCTTTGACAATGCAGACATATCCTGACCTGATGTAAATCAATGTAAGATCTCACCTAGTGGACATGTGATAAAATGATAAAGGTATAATGTTCGTAAAAAGATTTCCTTTAAGAGCAGATGTAATTGAGGCACAGCAACAAGCTTTTAACAGAGTGCAGTCCTTGCAGATTCCTGCATCCCCCAAACATTGAGAAGACTTGCCACATAGGCAGTACTCTGGAAGCTTTGTTTAGCATATACTATTTTCCAAATCCACAACAAAGTGCATGAGAGTAAAGTTTTCAGTAACATTAAGTGCAGATTCAGAGATGAGGAAAATAGTGTTCTGAGTTTCAAATTGGAAAGAACTGGTGCAATAGACCTACAAAGAGACATGAGAGAAAAGGTAATCAAAAATCTCATTACAACCATGTGAAGAGGAGTCAGAGGTGCTAGGTCTCTTAACTCCCCTTTTTGAAAGCTCTCAAGCAGATAGTGATGGACTGAAGTTTTTACTGTTGAGTGGAGACTATGATCTCTGAAGCTACTCATTAGCATGTGTTTTGAAGAAAAAAATCTATTGAATTTCACCAAACTGTGCACTTTCAGCCAAACAATTTCCAGTTGGTTTGCTGCCACCAGACAAAACATCTGTATGAAATGAACGTCTACTCTAGAAATATACACAACTGAAACAGGTGGATTGGAGGCTAAAACTACAAAAATATACTGAATAAATTACTTGAACACCTCCCTGGAAAGATGCTACTTGTCACCAAGCCCCCACAGTCCTTTACCTTCCATTGATAAAGCCCTGTAAATATCTTATTATCTGCTTTAAACATTTTTGCTCTGGACTATTGAGGAGCACTCTCTGCTTCAGCGCAGTCTCTGTAACCTGCTTGGACCAATGTCATGCAATCTGGTAGGCATTTATGGAACATAACTCTTAAGTAAGGTTTAGCAGAAAAGGAGGAACATGTTTTGTTTTTTTTCAGCCCATTAGCTCACATTAATGCACCTGCTTGGGAAATAGAAAAGCTGGGCTCAGTATTTCTCTCTCATTGAAAAAACAGGCAAACCTTGAATAACCAGTTGAGTGACCCAAACAGTTTATCTGGGTCATTCCTGGCTTTACAGGTCTTGTATAGACAAATCTTAAAGTCTTCCAAGGACGACCTTAAAAACTTCCCAGAGCATCTGTTTTCAATAGTTTTATATCATGACTGTCTGAAAGAAGTTTTCTGTTTTTCTTACTGAAATGTTTCTTTCTGGTCCTGTTTACTGTCAACACAGAGAAGAAAAAAATTCAACAAGTCCTCTCCTCCAAAGTTTTTTTTATTCGTTTGTTTGGTTTTTTTGTTTTGTTTTATTTTTTTCGTATTAGACTACCCCCTAATCTTTACATGTCATGGTTTCTAGGCTGCTGATCATTTCCAGTTTATCCCCATATTTCTTGAAATAGATTTCCAAACTGAAATGCAGTATTCCTCCTGAACTATTGCCAATACTGGGTAGAGAGGAAGGATTACCCTGTACATGTTACAAAAAATATACCTGTGAGAAAATATCAGTCTGTCTCGAGCTATTTGCTGCATCTCGCATGGAGTAATTTTAGATCAGAGGAAGCATCAGAGAGGTTGTGTGGCCTTGGAATTAGCAAAATCTTCTCAATTTCCTATACTCGCTCAAGCAAATACTTCAGTACATTCTATTTCTACTGGCATTTCACCAGATTACAGCAAAGGATATAAATGATTATATAGGATCATGCCATTTAAAGTGTATATATGGCACTTGATTAATAATTTACCTTTTACCTTGTCTGATGTGTTAATTTGCATTAAAGCATGATTAGCCAAGTCCTTCAGAGGATCCAGGAGACATATAGTCTCTAGTGTCTGCCAGAAATTAAAGAGATACTAAGTTTTGTATAGTAGTTTTAGCCAATCATTGCTTTTCTCCTGTGTGAAAGGGAAGAGTTTCATATTTGAAAACTGCTTTCTTTAGACAGAATATATTTTTGCTGCTGTGAATTACAGATAGATTTGAGAGAGTTAAAATCTTTTCCTATAGCTTCTCAGAACTGTAATTGATTTCAGATTTTAAAATGTGCTGTTTCCACTCTGCATATCATTAAAATAAAACACTAGCATTTGTAAAGTTTCCTTGGAAGTGTTTCTTGAGTGCTGAGTTCCATAATGTCTAGAATGTCAATTAAATTCTTGAGAATAGTGGTGGAGCAATACTATAATTAATAACACTGATCTTTCAGACTACATTAAGAATCTGTTATAATTATGTGGTACTTCTAATACATGTGTGCTTATAGCTTGCTTCCATTTGTAATTGTGACAGCTTCATTCAGAATATGCAGTATGCTTTCACAAATGGATTCCCTGGCAGCATTGTTGAATTGGTCAGTGTGACCAATTGTATGCACGCAGGTTCCCCAGATACCAGGCCACAGCTGAGGATCTAGGAAAAGTTTATTTCCAGAAGTCAAACCCACTAACAAATACAGTGCTAATTTACACCGGGCAGATGCAGAGTGCCTGTTCTCTTAGAACATTTTACTACAAAATCTTTCATATGTGCAATAAAACCCCAGGCTGTGTTGTCCCCTGTGCTTTATGGCCTGCCTGGCACCCCTGTGGGGGCCTCCAGACATGTCTGTGAGAACACTATCTTTTCTTGTAACAAGGAGTCAGCCTCCCTGGCAGGCAGAGAGAGTGACACACATAAAGCTATTCATGGAAAAAAATCTCCCAGGCAGCAAAGTTTCCCTGAGCAAACACTGTTTTTTCCCTCCTTCTTCTGAAGGTTGTTCTACACTTACAGTCAGAGCACAGATACATGGAAATGAGCTCAAGAAGAAGCCAATAAATTTTAAAACTTCGCCTATAAGCAGCGTACTGTGGGTTTGTTTTTTTATTTTATTTTTCTGTGCTGCATATTGATGTGACTAGGGCTGTACTTGCTTTTGCCTTTCTGTTTTTAAATAAGGTTAAAATAAGTCCTTGCTAGTTCTGATGTGTTCCCAGGTGCACACCATCAAAACTGAAACCAAACTATTTACTTGATGCAACAGAGTCACTCAGATTATGGCATACATCATCAAAATGTCATTGTGCCCAGATTTCCTTTGAGCATTTTGGTAGGAACTGCTGGGTCTGTCCTGTCTCCATTTGAGAAAAAGAGAAGTAGCGTGGGGTATGTATAGGTTAATATTTTACAGGAACTGGCAGGTTTTTTGTCTCAGAGCTAAGAAACTTGTGATGTATATTAATCTTTTGATTGCCTTGTTACAAAGGGCTAACTTATCTCTCATTTAAAAAATAAAAACCATTATAATCTCCGTCCCCTATAATATCTACTTTATTTTGCATTCATTGATTTTTAATATTTCTTTTAGATCTGGAAAAATGGTATTTGGACCAGCAAACCTAGGAGAAGGTGCAATAAGAAACTTCATTGCAAAGCATCATTGTAACTCTTGCTGCAGGAGGCTGAAACTTCCTGGTATGCAAAGTAAAAATTAATTTTTAATCTATGTACAACTTTTTAAGTCCAGTAAAAGTAAAGGCCTAGGTGTGCTATAAAAGCAAGAACTGAAATTCTGTTGAGCCGAGAGCTTATGGTAGGCACAGTCTTTAATGCAAAGGCTCTTTTGCCTAGCATGTAAGGGCTTGAGCTCCCTAACCCGATGCTGGCATCCAGCATGAAAACTTCTCATTGAATTGTTTCTCTTACTTTGCGAAATTTAGCCCATTTTTCCAGTGTCATCATTACAGATAACATCAGTAATTTTTGGAATAAGAAAGAGTAACAAGAGAAAAATTGGCAATGCATTAGCTGGAGAAAACTCACTGGATGTTTCCTGGTCCTGCAAAGGGTATTATTCACTACAGCCTCTGCTTAGTTGTTCATGTTATGTTTGGTAAAATGTATTTCTGTTTGATGTGGGGCAGATTTTAAAGACTCAAAGCCAAAATAGATTGCTTTCTGGGTGACTTTCCAGGCACCAATTTTTTTTCTATAGGGAAAGCTCTTTCCTTTCAGTGCCTATATGGAGTAATAATTGCTGTTTGATTCTGAAACAGAAACTGCAGTGTTATTGGTTTTGATTATTTGTATCTGTGGCAGCTAGAAATAATAGAGTGGAAAATCAGCTGAATGAATACAGTCAGGGAAGGTTTATTCATATCGGCTCACACTATTAAGTCCTCCAAGGGCTCTCATGTCCCTGGTTCTGATTTGCCTTGCTGCAGATTTTCTTCCTCCTGGAAACAGCAAACAGATCAGTTATTGGGTTGGACACTGCTCAGGGAGTATGTAGTTTTCAAATGTTTTCTTGGCTGCATTGTGGAATTTATTTTCTTGCCATAGATTTGAGAAGAAGTGCCTACATGTTGGAAATGGACGGTTCATCCTTTGAAACAGAAATGGAAACAAGCACCAGAGGAGCTGACAATGCAGATGAAACTTTGGAGTATGACACGCGACTATGAAGCAGTGGCTCTGAGGAGAGCCCATGTGTTTGCATGCTCGAAAACCTGCCCATTATCACTGCCAAGGGGCAGTCCAAAAGCACAAAATGCAGATGTCTGAGTGGAGCATCTATCTGCCCTTGCTGGACACTATAGGCAAGGAATAAAAAAATTAACTTTATTTACTCCCCTTACATACTTTATTGCTGGTCTTCCTCGTGCAGGTCAATGAATTGCAAGGAGCAGGTCACCCCCTAGGTAGATGAACTGTCCCATCAGTGCCTTTAGTTTTTATATGTGGATTATGGTTCTAAACTCTGCTTTCTTAGGAAAATGACTTTGCCAAGTTTATTTCCAAGGGGGAGTAATTTGTTGTTACTCTTTCTACTCTTTAGTAAATAAACGAATGCATACACATGTGCAAATAATTTAATTTTAGAGTCAGAGCCCACTCAGCCCTATGCTCACTGTTCCTTGGGCATAGAAGGAAATTCCAGAAATATTCCTCTTAATTGTTGATTTTGATGCAGACACAAACCAGGAATATATGAGTAAATGAATTAGTTGTTTAAACAATAGTCACTGATAAAACAGGTAGACTGAAAAAATTTATAGAAACTTCACCTTGAATTCTTTTCACATACCAAAAAAAATGAACAATGAAGGGGCAGATTACTGGACCCTCAAGCATCGTTGACATTTCTCATTCTGAGCTGATGAAGTAGATAAATCTATGATCTTTATACAAACGTAAAGAATAATCTTGAATGTGATTTGACTTTTAGGACTTGCCTTTCTTTATATTATTTTAGCTTCTGAATGTTTTAAAGTTGCAATTGGAACAAAGATTTTAGAAGTCACAAAAAATGGTATGTTCCATTTGGTATTTAATTTGTCAATGTCAGGTTTTATATAGGACTGTTATCTAACAGTGGTGCAGTTATATTTGGCAGCATCTACATCTGTTTCTATTGATGTCCTCTGATTTTAATTGAAGTTCAGAAAGTAGAAAAATCAATTATGTGCAATATGTAGAAAATTTGTAGAAAAAAGACTGAAAAGAAGTGCTCAGCAGAAATTTTTCTAATGCAACTGGGGTTTTATTACAGATCATATGTATCATTAAAGCAACTTTGTACTTTTTTATTGAGTAGAAACACCTAATGTTCAAATGTCAGTCACTAGAAAACTTTATGATTGAATAAGAAACAAAATCATATTTCTACCACAGTTGACAGCAAATTTTAATATCTAAGGGGGCTTTTTGTTATGATCTATGATTACTTTGATGTAGTTAGTAAGTGTCTACATATACATGGGATTTGGAAATTACATATTTCCAGTTTTTGTATTGATTATGATATTAATGATGGCATTGAACACTATGTTTAGCTGAGATGCCTGCACTTTCTGAAAATGTTCAGAAGAGATTCCTATTGCTTTTTTTCTTCTTTGTGAAAATAGCTTTTTATAAGATAATTTTAGTGGAACCCTCCACATTTTCCCCTATTAGATTATACTTTTCATATTGCAAAATATATATTTTTCTTTAACCTTTTTTTGGAAGCAAGTCAACCTATCAGAAGACTTAGCTTGTCTGTGAAAGAGATAGTTTAATTGCATCTCTATTAGACTTATGGTGAATTTTGGTCCCTTTGCTCATAAGGTAGTAGCTCTGCTTCCCATGGTTATCACCTTAAAATCTAACTTCAGGGAGATATGTTCTTACATGCATACATATATACTTTAAAGACAGAACTTTCACTAAAGAGTCTCTAACTGTTAATATGCCTTTAAATTCAGTTAAGTTAAATGACACATAAATACGTCTTTAAAGTCAAGGATGATTTAACTCCTGCCCTGATACTGTTACTTTCCTCAAACATGACCTTAAATTCTGAACACATATATACTAGACACAAAAAATAAACTCTCCACCAGACTGGGCATGAGCACCTTTCTTTTCTTTTTAAGTTTTGAAGGTATACACAAACCACACTTCAGATGATCTTTTCTTGGCAACTCTCCTGTTGCCTTTAACAAGTGAGTGGCTTCTGCATTCATAGCAATATTTGTGAGAATTCTATGACATGTAGCTCAGTGTAGATTACTTATTCCTTCTTGTAAGAATCTGTCAAGGTACATATTACCTTCCACTGAAATAGGGGATCCTTTCAAGGTAATAATCTGTGTTACAGTATAGTTTAGGTATACAGTATTTATACCTGTACAGTATAGTACAGGTATAAATATGATTGCTTTAATTTTGTTCATTGTGAAGTATTAAGGGGATGAAACAAGAAAAGGAGGCATTGCAAAGACTTCCACTGTGTATTTGTATCCTAGTTTTTCCATGCATGGAGACACTAAGTTGAAAAAGTCCAGTGATTCTGCTAGTTAATAAATTACGCTTCAACCTTTCATTTTGCATTTTTTGGGAGGGCTGATTCACATTTCACTAAAGTGTAGATTTGAGTATTTGGTTAAAGACCACCCTCCCCTCCCAACTGATAGTTCAGTAATAAATTATAATGAAAATAATTTGAAAAAAATATTTTTATTTCTTTTGAGTCCTTGGTGTCTTTCTTTCTACAAATCCTGTACATTCATTAAATTGTTTTTTTGTGTCCAAATAGTGAGCTTGGATTGGAGCCCATGCCCACTGAACACATGAAAAACTCCCAACAGCCTTTAATGGGAAAAGCAACAAGCCCCACCCACACTAAAACTGTGGTATATGTGGAAGGAAAGTTATGGAGGTCAGGGGTTTTTTTGCAGCTGCTTGACAACCAGTGAGGAAGAGGAAAACTTGTGTGTCAAACCATAGGATTTTCTGATTATTAGTTTCAATGTTTGTTGATGCTGAAAAGCACATACAGAAATTTATTTTATGCTTCTGGTGGGTTCAGGAAAAAAAAAGACCCGTTTACTTAGTTCAGATAAATTAGGCAGTAAAGTTTTGAAAAAAAAACAAAACAAAATAAGTCAAAACCACTGGAGTATTTATATGCTCACATTTTAATATAAGCTTAAAAGAGCTTGCTTGGGAATTCACTTGGGATTATTCAAAGCAAAATGTGTTTCTGGCATCTGCTGCACTGGAGATGTAGCTTAAACACATGAAAAATTTTCAGAAATTGAGAACCTCATACTCAGGAAGGCTTTTTTAAAAATTGTGGTGTATTTGAGGTTATTCATTTATTGTTAGTGCAATAAAGTCAAAAGGGATATTACATCTGTATTTTCTAGAAGTGGATTTGTATTTGTTGTGGTTTTGTCAATCTATTTCATACTGTTTCAAAAGAATAAAAGAACATTTTCAAAATGTTTCTGTTTCTTGATAGGTATAGAATGAAATAATATGTTTCTGAGCACTAGGGGAAACAGGTGAAAGTAACATACAGAAAATAAGTCAATTATTTTTATTTTTAATCTCGAGCTGATATAAAAGAACAGCATTCCATGAACTTCATTGTCAAATCTGGTATTTTACGTCATGTACATTTTACATCTGTTTTACATTGTTAGGGTGCTGATGCCAGTCCCTTTTTGTTGAAAAATTTTTCCCAGAGATAAATAAAAGCCTGTCTGGAGTGTCCTGGGCCTTCCCATCAACTGTGGTCACAGCAGAGTTGTCAGCCCTTACCTTTTTGCTAGACCATTTGCAAGATCTGTTATTGCTTTTCAGCTTTTCTTTAGTGTATTTGTCATACCTCAAATTATTCTGGAAGAGAGTTCGATATCCTAATTTATGGTACCTATTGCTGGGGAAGAAAAATTTCAAACTAAAACCAAGCAAAAGTTATTTTTCTCTTTGTTATTGGAGTGTGTAAACAGCTGTAATGCTCTGTTCATTTACCTGCCTGGCATTGGTTCTGTTTGTAGGGACAGAACAAATAAACCAGTGTTTTAAAATAACCTGGGTCCATTTAGATGCTGATATTCAGTTGTGATAAAGCACTTAAGTTCAAGAAGAAAAATCAGAGAAAAGTCTTGCAGGAAAGAAGTGACTTTACTGCCTAAATGTCTAAGTGTTGATTTGGCTCCCTGCCAAGTCCCCAAGATCCAGGACAAAACCTCCAGCAAAGAGTTAAAAGAGAAACAAACTATTAAAAAAAATCCAGACTAGCCGAACTATATTAAAATATATATGTATTTGCATATAGTACAGTTATATACAGTTGAAATACTATATACAATCCTAAAAGGGAATGGGGAAAAAAGGGACAAAAAAGGACAAAAACAAAACAGATATGCACAATCAAAAACTCAGAAACTAGCAGAATAAAGAACTAGCAAAATGAAATCTGATCACTTCCCTTGAGAAAAAGCAGGACAGCCAGACCCGGCCCAGCACTCCCCACCTCACGTGTGGCAGACAGCAGGAGTCACTGCAGGCCTCAGCTCCAGGTAAGCAAGACCAATGCAGGAATCTACTGTTCCCAAACCTCGTCAGAAGAGAAGAGAAAGAGGTCTCTATGACCGGCTTATTTATACCTCAGTTTACGTAAAGGAATAGCATGGAATACTTCCTTGGTCACTTCCCTAGTTCCTTCCTGCTTACAAGCTGGTCTCCAGGAAGGCCTAGACTGAAACTATCACACTAAAGAAAGTCTAGCTCTGTTCTTTGTATCAAGGATTTAGGCAGATGGCTAAAACCTTCCATTTCTTGGGTTGTCATTGAAAAAATAAGATTTAGGTTTGACACTGTGCAGGCAGCCCAACCTACCCATAGCTGGCAGAATGGAGGAGGAACTGAAAGAGTAGGAGAGAGAGAGGAGGAAGAAGAGGGGAGGCTGGGGAACAGAGAGCACTCTCTGACTTCTGAGCTTTTCTCCTGCTGTTTTGCCTGACTGAACTCTCATCCCAGAGGTACTGCCAGTGTCATCTGTTTCTGTGGTGTGTAGCATGAGCCAGGCTCTACTACAACATAGAATGTACCCAGGAGGCCTTGTTTCAATAGGTAAATGTCTCACCTGATGATGAAAGAAGAGATGCTTCTCCTCAGATGACCCCTGCTATGAAATTTGAAGAGTTATGTGACTTCTGAAAATGTCTGAGCAGCAAATGGTCAGGTCAGCAACTGATCGAGGAGACCAAGGGAAGTTTAGAGTGGTCAGCTAGAATGGCCACAAATTACCCCTGTTCTCCTAAATGGATTTAAGGTTGGCCTCAAGTGACCTTAAGGAAATGTGGTCAGGATGAACTTCAGGTGCCCTCTGGGCATCAAAGGAAGCCAGGGTAACCCCAAGTGATCATTTGGGATAGCTAATTGCAATTAAGGTTGATCTCAGATGACACGTGCAGGTTAATTGGTTCTAAATTGGATTTAAATAACCTGTTGAATGAAAATAAGGACCAGTGTGACCCTGGGCAATTTACTCTCTGTAAAGGTGACTCCAGGCATCAAATGAGTGCAGCATTGACCTCAGATGACCCCAAGCAGATCGTTGGCTGCCATGTTGACCCCAGGTGACCCCTTTTGTCTAATTTGCTAGCATGTTGACCTCAGATGAACCTTGGGGCTCAAACGTGGGGCCAATTGGACCTGGTGTGACTCCCATAAGTAATTTGAACTCATGTTTACTTGAATTGATGTGTGCCACAACCATGAGGGTTGACTTTAGATGACCATGCAGTGAGAGTTGCATCTCAGACTGAACTCAGATGATCTTAGGCAGGAATCAAGGTCTGTGATTGAACTCTAATGACCCCTTGGCACCAAATGAAGGGCAGGTTGAACTCAAATGACAAATCAAGCAATTAATTGGACCTCAGGTTTACCTTAAATGACCACTCGACCCTGAACAAAGGCTTCACTGACCTCACATGAACCCTGACAGACTCTCTGGTTGACCTCAAATGAAACCTGACTGTTTAATTGCATCTCAAGCAGACTTTAAATACTTGCCCCTCCTCCAAATGAGAAAAGTGGTGACCTTAAAGGACCTCTGTGGAGGTAATTGTATGTCAAGTTGACCTCAGATGATCTTAGTCTCCAAACAGTGGCCTAGTTGACCTCAAACAACCCCTTGCATATAGAGGGGTCTCATGATCATGCCAGATAAACCCTACTTCAGACAGGTTAACTGACCCATCAGGTTGACCTCAGATGACCGTACAGCAGTTATTTAGCCCTCAAGTTGATCTCAAATGACCTTCCCGATTAGCGATGGTGACCTTTAGTGATCACAGGCCAGTTAATTGATTCTCATTTAGCCTTTAATGACCCTAAGCAGTTACTTGGATCTCATATTCATCTCAGATGATATTTACAGCCTCTATCTGTATTATAAGTTGATTTCCAATGGCTCCTTACATGGAAATGGGGACTGATAATTGGCCTCAGTGGCCTCTGTTTGGAGTTACAGAACACCACTGCCTGTCTCGAGGAATTTATGACATATAGGTGCTAATTCCAGGCCTGACAGAGGCAAGATCTGGTTAGCACATCCTAGTTAATGTATCCGAACAAAATTTCCCCACTGTGATTGAGTGACAAGAAGCAATTGCTCATATGCATATCACTGGTCAAACAAAGACCATCTCAAGTTATGGGACAGCATCTGCAAACACCAATGGCCACAAAGCTCCCCAAATACACCTCTCTGGATACCCAGAATTTGGACTGCATAAAGGTCATATTGTTGTCCGGGTTTTAGGACCTATGGAATGGGTAACAAAGCTCGGGAAGAAGGATGTATCACTGATAGTGGATACAAGGAATGCAGAATTTACCATCCACAAGGATATTTAGCAGAGCTCCCAAGATAAGGAAGAAACTAATAAAGCCAACTCACAACTGTGCTGAAATCAGCTCTGTCTGGGTAAAAGATAATTCTGGCAGGGGGAGATGGCAACCACTGACTCATGGCCCACTGATTCAAGAAATCTACTGACTTAAGTGAAGAGAAAGACTGAGCATGCAGACTAATTAGCATGAGAAGTGAGGGAATCATTAAACCAATAGATGATAGAATAGTAATTAATAAGCGAACTATGTAACTGGTAGCCAAAGAGTGTTAATTCCTTTGTTTGCTAAAAGGTATAAATGGCAAGAAGATTTGATAGTCAGCGGTGGACTTTGTGGACCCAGCATCTCTCTCTGTGCCAGATGTACCAACAGAAGAATGAACTGGGTTCCGCTGCCCCACCACTGAGAAACTCGGGGTGAACAAGGAGCAATGGGATGCCGCTGGATCCACGAGTAGTGACTATCTTTTGCTTGTGCTATCTCTCTCCTCTTTCTCTCTTTCTCTCTTTTTCTCTCTTTCTCTCTTTTTCTCTCTTTTTCTCTTTTTGTCTCTTTCTTCTTCTCCCTTTCTCTTTCCTCTACACACTTAATGTTACAAAATAAAGTCAGTATTGTTGAACTGGCATTTGCTGTCATTTGAACCCTAATTCGGGCAGAGGCATCTGTCACTAATCAGATCATAACACCTCTGAATAGACAAGTGGCTCTCATGTTGATGTCAAATGACCTCAGGTTGCAAAAGCCTGAAACTACCTCTAGAGATCTAACTGGATCTCAGGTTCATGTCAATTGACTTCTATTCACCACACAAGGACTTAGCTGATGTCAAATGGTACCCTGTCAACGGTTTGCATATCAAGTTAATCTCAGATGACCCTAGACAAAATATGTGGGGTATTTTCACATTGAATTCATACTTAGTTAGACCTCAGATTACCCCAGTGAAATTCACAGTATTGAAACTAGACTTTAGATGCTAGGCAGGAAATAAGGATTGTGATTGACCTTACATGTTTCCTTGAATAGATTATTATCTCTCAGGTTGACCTGAGATGACCCCTGGTCAGGCAATGGGAATTATCTGAGTTTCAATGACCTTTGTGCATCTAATTACAATTCCCATTGACCTCAGACAATCTCTGGAGAGCAAATGACACCCAGGACCATCCTTGGTTCATATAAAAAAGTAAATGAGCTCAGTCTGTATGTGTCATTTGAAGTTCATCTAGTTCAACTCTCTGCACAAAGCGTTTACAATTAGATAGTGTTCACACCCTTTCCCAGGTAAATTTTGCTTTTTTCCAACAAAGGAGATTTCACAATTTTTCTCAGCAGCCAGTTTTAGTAATTGATCACTCTTGTTTTTTGTTAATGTATCTAATTGTAATTTCCTTTGTTTCAACCTGTGTCTACTGCACCTCTTGCTGTGGGGCTCCTAGAAGACCCTGGCTACAATTTGTGCTGGCTTCACTCACGCTGGTAATGTATTTCTTGTTGCTAGCAGCTCCAATTGCCAGACAGTGTTGAAGGTCTGATGTCAAGCCATGAAGCAGAGGCTACAGGTCAGGGTCTAGCCATGGAGCAGATGCTGACAAAAAAGCAAGCTCAAGGGTCTCAGCTCCCAAGATAAGAGGCAGCATGAATTCCAGGCTGTGCCTGAATTCCTGTGCTCGATCTCAGGTAATCACTTAATACAAAAACAGGTAAGTCTTTCCATTTTCATGGTCTTTGTTCAAGGCAGTGCAGTTGTACTTGACTGCAGCTAACTGCTCTGTATACAGATATGATGGGAACTGATCTCTGTTAATCCCAAAGAGCAAACTAAATCTCACAATAGCTGCCCTTTACTGACAGCTGTTGGGGAATAATTTAGGGCTGGTAGCTCAGTGTGTGAGCTGCAGGTTGAGCTCTGGGGAGCAGAAGGCTGAGGCTGAGCCCAAGCCCGAAGCAAGAGGTGACTGGATACTCTGAGACAGCAGGAGCTCACAACCCCCAGACTTTACCATGCATAGACTGTAAGGGTACAAAAGCCCAGGGTTTCCTTTGTTTGGGGTCCTTCCTTGGATGCTCCCAACTCAAGCTGTTATTTTGTTAGTTATTGCACGAAGATTAAATTATTTTAAGGATTGGGAAATTGAAAACTCTGCTATGGGTGGGAAACCTAGGGTCGAGCCAGTAAGGCAACGTGGTCTGACAGTGTGAATGTGGTGAGTTTAGCTGCGAAGGGGCCTCAGTCCTAGGTCAGGTAGAGCAAGTGTGACTGCCAGGGCGGCTCCTGGATGGTCAAAGAGGGGAGTTTTCTTACAATAGTTGTGGGGAGATCTGTATCAACAGGTTACTTCAAAGAACCTTAGATCACAGAATTTGTCAATGTTTGTTCTCCTTTATTCTCCTCAGCAGAAGACTGAGGTAGTATTTCACCTGAATATGTCTTTAAGTTTGAAAATTTTCATTTACTTAACTTTATTTACTTCCACTACCAAACTGTGGCTCAATAGCTGACCTCAGATAATCCTCAAGCAGCATAGGTAATAGATAGATTGATATCTGTTGCATCTGACCAGCAATCGGGAATAATAATTAAATTATCCTGACAAAACTGGAAGGTTTTGTGCAAGTAGATTTAACAACATGTCTACATATAAAAATAGGTCAGAAATTGTCTCTGTCTGGGCTCTACACATATTTCACTAACTCTTGGATGTTCTTTTTCTCTGAATTGGGTCAATGATTGATATTGGTTGAACGTTGAACCATAAACAAGCATTGACCTCCAGATACTCAGTGCTGGCCACAGATGATCTAGTCAGGTCCAGTGAGAAAAGTCTTTAGGACTTTATGTAATCACTCTAAGGATTGTTAGTGATAGGACATTTCAGCTAAATTGAATATAACTATTAATTTTTACCAGTGTTTTATGAGTGGCAAACTGGGACAGAAATTGCGCTATGGGCTCATGACTCCTGAGCCCAAATGTGGGACACAGATTAATATTTATTTTCATATTGTCCCTGAATAATTAACTGAAGGAGTAATTGACCTCATATGAGTCCTTTGTATTGAAGAAGTAAATGACCCTGTTGCATCCTAAGCAGCAGAACAGTGCAGTGACCCAACTGTAGATTGCATCCATAACAATACTAGAGGTGGTGACAGGATATAATCTCAATTAGTGCCCCTGCTCTCACATCTGGATTTTGAGATTTAAAATACGCCAGTGTGTTGAAACTTTATGACATCTGAACAGTAGAGCCTGGCAGCTGTCTCAGTAATGTCTGAGCAGCAAAACATGTTGGAGCTTAATCTCATTATAGTGACTAGGACAAGTAGTCTGCAACTAATTTCTTATGAACATTAATACGAAGCCAGACCAGGTAGCTGCAGTTCCTGAGGTCACCTGCTCTGAGGCAGGCTGTCTGATGCCTGGCATGTGGAGTCTCTGTCCTACTCTAGTGTCTCACTGCAGCTGAAAACTCAGCATTTCAATCTTCTGAACTGAGGACTCTCAAGATGTCATTGCTCATTAAGGACATAATTTTTACACTATTTACATTAAAAAGCAGGCCTAAAGGAAGTCCACAACTTTGCCATTGACTTCAGTGGAGCCAGGATTAAAACCTAGACTTCAGTGTTCAAGTAAAATATCTGCCCCTTTAGCTGTCTAACCCTCTCTCTGAACCTTTCCTGCTGTTTACCTCTCCCCTAAGACCCACTTGCACTCATGCTTTTTGTGTTCTATCAGAATTTCCAAGAATTTCCATCATTCACTCTGAAGAAAAAATACCTAGTGAAGACACAATAATATCTAAACCAGAATATCTAACTCTTCCATTCTAAAATGTAAGAGTATCAGAATTACTTAGGTGCTTAAAATACTTTTAGTGGTTTGTCTAATACAACCTTCAGAATCCAGACTAAATCTTAATCTATTAATATTGTATTAACTTTCTACAAAGCCAAACATGAGATTAACTTAATGTTTGAATGATGGAAGAATTTTCTGTGAAGTACTGCACCTCTTGCTTAAAGAACAGAATTACTTTCCATCAGGTAGATTCTTCAGAGGTATTTAAATACAACATGAGTATTTCTGGCAGAATCACTGAGGTTCTCTGCTGCTTGGTCTGTTAATTATACAGTAGGTGCAGTCTCTGTGGTCCACTCTGCATGAGTGCTAGTGACTGACCATCTTTTGTCAGCTGAAACTGGCCCTACTGGCTCGTGTATACCTACATGATTCTTTCAATTGTTTTGATTTCAAGACTAGCCAACCTAGCAAAACTTTTATGACCCCTGTGTATTCTGCATAAGTAAAAATAGCCTTATGAGCCACAGAAAATCACAGGTATCTTCAAGCAAAGATATAGTCCTTCATCATAAGCCTAAGGAACATGTATATATTCCAGCTAGAAGTGCAACAGGTGGTACCATCTAGAAAGGACATTAACAGCACAGTCACAATATAAAAAAATATAAAATATTCTCTATTTCAAAGAACACCACCCAGTTTCAAGCCAACTTGTATTTATTACCTTGATTTGTATTAGATATGTAAATTCTTTTCTTTCCTGAATTCAACAACATTCCAAATATTTTGTCAGATGTCTTGCATTGTATAGTAGATTTTCACCCAGACAGAAAGAAAAGCTTCTACTTCAAGTCCTGTTAGAAGCTTCAACTCTCCTATGTGTTACGTACTTGACTAACACTTCCTTGGATTTTAATGTTTCCTTTGCTTTAATAAACTTTTACTTATGGAACACCAATCGTGTTCTAGATGATTCAAGTGTAGTCTGATAAAATGCAAATGTGTAGCCACTGCAAAAGACAAGATCAAAATTGGAAAAATATGCCTCTCCTCAAGTTAGACGACTATCACCCCTCACACACATCATCAACTCTTGTAGTTACTTTACTCTGACAAGTATATTACAATTCTAGGCCTCTCACTGCAAACATGCCTGTGAAGAAAAGCCTACTACTGTGCCCTAGTGTGTACGGCAGTGTGCAGAGGGCTCTGATGTACAGATCAAATTTGTGTAGACACATCTATATTACTAGCCTTTAAATACATACTAGATCACTTTGAAACAAATTGCATAGGCTGTTTCAACCCAGAATGGATTTACTGTCTTTTTCCTCTGAACAAATGTGTATACTAATTGGAAACCTTTGAGATGCCAAGGGAGAAGTCAGACAGCTGGCTATTTACCCTCTGTGTGCCAGCAAATTTCAGATAATTACTTTCACTAGCATACATTCTTGCTCCCATTTAATTAATATAACAAAATTATTTATGTGAATAAGGATGAAATTGTGCTTTTTGTTGCTTTTAAATGTTGCTCCAGATCCATGGAAGCTTCCAATATATTAGCACAAGAATAGTTAAGTTTTGTGCTTTTCTTCATCAACTGTGTTTGATTACTAGGAGGAAGAACTGGAGACCAGCATTTCAGGGCTGCACAACTGTAATTACTGCACAGCCACTAAATATTTTTATTTACTATGATTGATGGCCATTAGGTGGGCATCAGGCCTTAGTTTCCTTAGGGGGTGGCACTGTTATGATAGAAGGTTTACTCTTGCATAACTTTATAATTAATGGGAGGTATTTCAAGGCTCTTC